CTCTGCAGGTTTTAATTGGCAATTCCCTGATGACTTGTGACATTAACTGTTTTTGCATGTGTTTCTTGGCAACTTGCCTATCTTTTGAGAAGTGTCTTATGCCCATTTTAAAAGTTGGCTTGTACTTTTATTAATGAGTACTCTATATATCCTGGACACCAGTTCTTTGTCAAAAATGTGTCTTTCACATTTATTTCCCCCTTAATCTGTGCTTTGCCCATCTGACTTCCTGTTCTCTTTGTATAAGTAGCACTTTTAAATTTTGTCAAAGTCTATTATTTCAATATGTGTGTTACTTTTTGTTCATAAGAAACTGCGACTACTCTTAACTCCAAAACATTTGTTTTGTTTGTTGACACCGGGTCTGACTAGGTAGTCCAGGCTGGCCTCAAACTTGTGATCTTCCTGCTTCTGTCTCCTGAATGCATGGTGTATACACCATGCCCAACTTTCTGCTTTGTTTTTCTGAAAGCCTCATGATTTTCGGTTTTAAAGTTAACTCTAAAATAAATTTTGGATGAATTTTTGTGCATCCTGTAAGGGAGATCAACTTCCGTCCTTTCTTTCTTTTGCCCTGTACGGATACCACTGGTTTCAATGCCATCAGTTGCAAAGCTTCCTTTCCCCATGGGTTGCTTCAGCTCTGGAAAGAGCTCGCTAATGAGCCCAGTAGCTGCATCATTTTGTCTCACTGTTGTGCTTCTATTTACTCTTCATCACACTCTTTTGGAAGTTTGGAAGTTTTGTAGTATTAAAATAATTTCAGATGTCCAATTTGCTCCTTTTTTGGTAAGATTAGGTACGCCAGATCTTTTGCCTCTAGATCCTTTGTTAAAGTTGACAGTGAATTTACAGATCTGCTTGTGGAAAGTTGTATATTGCCATTTCGCTTTCCACCAGAAACATGGTATAATCGCAACATTTACTTAACTAACTTCTACACCTACGTTTTGCATTTTTTAGCATACACGCTTTATCAGATTTTGTTAAATTTATTCATAAGCATTTTATGGGTTTTGATGCCGGAGGAAACGGAAGTTCTAAAGTTTTATTTTCCAATTGTTTGCTGTGACTATAAAAGAAAATCAATTTTGCACCATGATCTTCTATGCTGTGATCTTGCTAAATTATCTTAGTAATACGAGTAGTTGAGGATGCCTCAGGATTTTCTATGCAAATAACATATCACTTGCAAAGAGACTCATTTTACTTATTTTCTAATCTTTATGCCTTTCGTTTCTATTTTGCCTCTTGATTGGATATACAGGAAACAGTCATTGCTTATTCAATTTAATCTATCCTCTACCCTCAACCATCCAGTGTTACCATGGTGCCACAGGAATTTTGGCACAGGACAACCATCTGGCTCATAAGTGACAGACAGGCTTAGACACAAACTGTGCAACTTTAAAACTCCCACTCTTTCACCAGTACTATGGCGCATCTGAATTTAAGAATTCTTGTGACAATACTTTTAGTTTTTCTCTCTTTATTTTTATGGTTAAAATGCAACATACACATTCTACTTTACAATCAAGCCATGGGACAAAAGAACCAATCTTAACTGTTGAGATGGGAGATAATACAGTATTGGCATTTTCCAGTGACACGTGGCTGCTGAATCACATCACACAGTTTTAGAAGATAGTTGGAAAATGCCTGAAAGAAAAGATGTTATTTTAAAATTAGGTGTGTATGCACACAAACAGTTGACATACTTAAAAGAAATACTTTACTCCCATGTCACATTATTTTTTATTAAGTGACATATTTGTGGGAAACAGTTGAAAAATGCCCATCAAGGCAAACCACTTAATCCTCACATATAAAGTCTTTTCTGGCAAGTAATACACATGTGAAAAAGAACTCAAATACATTTGCTGGGAAAAAGGGACATTTTTACTCTCATGTTTCTTTTCAGTTAAGTGAAATATGTGGACAGCAGCTGAAAAATCCTGGAAGAAGAAATGACCATTATTTCCCACTCCTGACCACGTGCATCTCCACATGGTCAGACACACGCAACAATCACTAAAAAACACGGTTCTCTCAGGATATACCACAGATCACGCTTACAGAGTATTTTTGCTTTTAAAGCGTTTGCTAAACCTATTTTACATCACTAAATGTGTATGATCACATGTACACTGAAAACTAGCTGAAGTGACTTAAATAATAAGACTCAGGTACAGTTTGCAACAAAGATTGTTAAAATCCTTTAGACTTTTTTCCCAAGAAAGGCAAGTGAGGTAGTTTATACTGTATACATGTTGTAAAGAACTGGTATTCCAGTTTGTTCAAAGATTGTCAACTCCAAGGTATTCTCAAGAGAGCTGCTTAAGAAAAGATCCTCTTTCCAAGAATGGAGGAAAAAGATGAGCCAGTTCTAGGACTTTTCCTGAATGTGTGTTTCCACATGTTTGCTTCCTACAATACTTTCCTGGATGATATTTTTTCCCAATTGTGTACCAAGGGCACTTGGGATGGGTGAGGGTGAGAAGCTATTATACTCACAAGTCAGGTGGCTGGCTTTCCTTTTGGACAGACTATCCATTGTTATGTATTGGTGACCGAACATTTACAAAACAACCCTTGACAGGGCAAAAGTTCTTTTACTACTTAAGTGACAGGCATTTTGAATTTAATTGTAGGGGTCTGTTTTGTAATAATAAAATTAAAACCTCTTTAATCACATGAATTTTAGTTTGTATGCTTACTAAAATTCTTCTCTAATCAATTGATCTTATGATTAAAAATAAGTTATAGCCAATGATGCTGCTAGTGGCACCATCCTCCCTGTTCTAGGGTGATTTGAACGTTGTCGTGCTCTTGAATAAACTGAAGTGATTCATTCAAAGTTATTGGTTCAGCTAGTTACATTGAGAACCGCACAATGGATATGAAATAAGAGACTTACGATCCTTTACCTGGCTTCTATTAGTCACTTATTTAAGACTGATGACAGATTGGACTAAATCTTAAAACCTTTAGGACTAATGTATAGGTTCTAAAGTTCTTAGTCAAAATAAATGAAAACTCTAAAATGAAATGAACAGATCTGTGAATTTTCTATATAAACAAAACAAAATAGGATTGAACGATTCTAATTAGAGGAAAGACAATGGAAAAAATCAATCAGTTTGTATATATATATTCGAATATATTATTCGAATATATATATTCAAATATATATATATATATATATATAGAGAGAGAGAGAGAGAGAGAGAGAGAGAGAGAGAGAAATGAAGGAAGCAAGTGGAATTTCTTCCACATGTGGGCATAAATTCCTGCTTCCTTATGTCTTGGATTTGGCAAGTATATAAGTGAAATATTTACTACTGTTGTTTCAGTTGCAAAAATGATAAAAGCATTTTTTTTCCAAGTCTGGAAATTCATTGTAAACTCACATGCCACTGGTTAGGTATACACTGAAAACTGGTCAAAAGTATAAACAAATATAAAACTATAGATTGCAGATTTAGTTTCTAGTGGGATTTCAGATAAAGGAAATTAAAAATTCTCCAATAAGTCAAATAAATGGATTTTTATATTTTCTATAAAAGTGTAACAAAATTCTAAAGCCAGAAACATGCAGATTGAATGTAACTAATGTTTTACACAAACGTCAAGGCATAATGTGGCAAGTAAAAGACTTCTTCTATATATGCACTTAAAATATTTCCACATAGTATTTTGAAAGTTGGTAAGTAAGTAAAGAAATATCTTCTGTATTTATGATTCAACTTTGTTTGAATTGCAAGTGAGAGTTGTTTGGGTCTTAAATCTTATAAATGATATAAATCTATTGAAATCTTAATTTGGGGATTCCAAGCTAGCCTATTTATCTGGAACAAATGAGAGCTCTGCTTCCATTTTGGGAGAGCCCTAACAGGGCTGTTTGTATTGCAGTCTCAAAATGTAAGGCAGAGATGTCCAAATGCTCAGCAGATTATAGATTTGCTTTAAATTAGAAACATGAGATCTGTGTGTTCTGGCCAACTGAAGATGTGGAAAATGTCTCTGGAAGATCTTGACAGCAAGACAGCTTCAGGCTTACCCAACATGCATCTGATTCTACTGGCTCATGCTAATTCTCAGTGCGTAGCCACGTCTACGAACAAAAGCAAAATCTGCTTGGACAGCATATAATCTGATTTAATGGTATTTCCATCACCCTTGGATAAAATCAGGTCTATATTTTTAGTTTGGGGCCACAGAAGTATCTGTAGTTGTGAAGTGTAAAATGAAAAATGATAAGTCTGATCTGAAAAGGAAATCCATGCCTGGCACAGGGGCAGATAATCACTGAGCACTGTAACCATGATGAGAGAATAGAGGCTCAGTCTGTGAAGGCATAAGACGCCCTCTGTCACAATGAGCTTCACAATGCGACCTGTGCTCACGAGGCGGTGAGCTATAAAATACCACTGTCTACTACCCAATGACAGGCCAACATTCATGGGCACCAGGATGGCACAGCCATCTTACAACATGGCATAGATAACAACACGCTTTCCTTTAGACTGAAGTCCTCCTCCTCCAACTGAGGAGCAAGCCAGAGCACAAACATTTTATGTTTCACATAGAAACCCATTCCCTTTGGAAAGTAGATCTGGATTCCTTTTTAGGGCAGAAATTAAGGCTATTTCTGGCATTCTTTTTTTAAAAAGTCAATGTATATATATATAACATAAGTATAAAAAAAAAAAGGTCTCTTTTGATTCTTGTGTTTGGTGGCCCTGGCTTCATAAAGAAATGTTTATGCCCAGGTAGAGGGCAAAGTTCATTTCTGCCACAAAGTCAAGATACTAGGAGTGGTTGAAGTTCCATATTCCATTGGCTTTTTTTCAAGGGAGATCACATCGTCCTTCCTCTTATCAAGGAAAGGTGATGAGAGAATTCAGCTCAAATGGTGAGCCAGCTCCTCTTCCACAGCTTCCACTGACAAAACTGGAGACCTCACCTTCCAGGAAGAACCATCCAGATGGGCACAGGAACAAAGAGTCAAGGCAGTCTTGGTTCCCCCCACCAAGTGCAGGATCTTCTTGGCATATAACACATGGTAACAGCCAATACACTGGGTGTATTTCAAAGGCTTGGCTGGGGCTTAATCACCCATTCTGCATGAGGATTCACACGATACACATCCAATACATAGGCATCAGGATCCAAGCAATGCTGTCCTAAAGGAAAAGAAAAGGCAAAGAACATTCTTAGGAGCACACTCTTCGTGTTAGTAAGGTTCACATGAGCCAATAATTCTCTCAGTCAAGAGCTGGGGTACATATTTCAAAGTTTCTTAGCAGAGCTTCCCTCCTTCTCCCTCCTCCTTTTTCTAGACTGTGAAGTAATTCAAATAAATCTCCTATGAAATTGTGGATAAAACAGACATGCCAAGTGCAGGAAAATTATTCCCTAGCTTCGCCCTGTCAATTAGAAAAATATAGCAAGAACTTGTTTCAGGAATAAGACAGTCATTTTTTATGCAAATACAGATCATCTAATGTTTTTATAGACAGTAACTTGAGCAGGGTTGGAGAAGATTCAAATCAAGTTTCTTTTAGGAATGGTCATTTTGTTGCTTTACTATGGAAGTCACAGCCATAGGCCAGTGGGTTATGATGCACCAGGCACTGTTCTAGGGCCAGAACTGCAGCAGTGCATCAGACAGTCTCAAAACACTTGCCTCTAAGGAGCTTCTGCAGTAAATAAACACGTACAATATAAAGTAAGTCCAATGGGGTAAGATTATCAGAGAAAAGCAAAGCAGGTAAGGCACATACAGAGGATGCAGAGGCCACGAAGACCCCCATCAAGGAGGTAATACATCAGCAAAGATGTAGAAAAGGCAAGTTAGCATTGGGCAAATGGAAAGCCTCAGGCAGACCGTGATGGTGAGTGTATGCGCAGGTCCTGGGGAGGAGAGAAGTCTGGAAGTTTGAGAGGCATCAGCAGACAGGTGGATCTAAAGCAATGAGATGGACTGAGGTTACAGAGAAAGCTGTGTGTAAATACCCAAGAGTTCCAAGGCCTGATTCTTCCAGCCCTCCAATGTCGAGAGGCTGAGAAGTAACAGGCAAGAGACTCAGTGAAGTGGGAGGCAAGTCAGAAGATTAGGCTGTCCTCAAAGTCAGGAGAAGAAAGTGTTTTTCAAAGACAGAAAGATCAACTCAGGCAGCTATAGACAGAATGGATGACTGCATTTCATAGTATGAGAGTTCTCTGGTGATATGGACAAGAGAAGGATTTTGGTGGGAAGGCTTGACTGGAGTGGCTTCCAGAGAGAACGAATGGAGGCAGAAAAGGGAGTTCAGATAAGTGATTGAAGAAGGTGGACTGGGAAGTGGAACAGAGAAATGAGAGTGGCCATGAAGGGGGTCAGGGTAGAGCTCTGTAAAGAACAGAGCAATGACCAACAGGTTTTAGGCCAATGGAAATGGTGCAGTTGGGGAGAAAAAAGCTGGTGATGCAGGAGACTGTTGAAGCATGGATGTCACAAGGTCCTGACTAGGCAAGAGAGGAGACCACAAGTGGAACACAGAAGGTACATGGAGCTTGGAGGACATGGATCAGGGTGTAAGTACAAGGAATTTTTTTCCACCTCCATCAGGGAAATGGGAAGCATGGTCTTGAGCTGTATGCTAAAGTAGGGAAGGTACACAAAGGGTGTAATTTTCTGACAGTTCTCACTTCTGTTCTTTATCTTTCATGAGTCTCTGAAAAGAGACTTTCCAACTTTAAGAGTCACACTTAAAAGACCCAAAAGTCTACCTCATATCCACACTAAAATATTCTCACTTAAAACTTGAGGATATTGTAGACAAATTACCCAACTCTTCTTGTATGAGATTTAAAAAAAAAAAAGAAATATGGTGATTTTTTACTTTCTTATAGGATTCCTATAATAGCAGCATATTTCTTTTAGAGTAATCAGAGAATTTGGACGTAGAAATTATTACAGAATGCTTACCTATATTTCCTCCAATTTCATATAACCTTTGGCTCTGCATCTTAATACAATCGGATGAACCATGACTGAAAGAACAAGAAGACAGTACAATTTTAACTCTCTTTCAAATCTCAGGTAATGTTAAGCAACATGGCATCAAATAATTCAGTCTGCATAGATGAACACTTCACAAAACTTTATTATGACTGAAGTTATAATAAAAACATGTTTTTCTTGTTTCTTCATGAACATAAAGGTGAGGTCAGAGGCGTTGGGACAAGTCCAAACACAATGGAATGAACTGTGGCTGATAAAAGCAGAAAGCCCATTCCAGTCACACCTGTCAACATACCATCATGGAGGTAACCGAGGTATACACATCAAGACTGGCCAGGGAGCAGCTATTTAAGCATGTCTGTCACTGGCCACAGTTCTCTCCATTCAAACAAAGTCAAGTTGCATTTCTGTTTGCCAAATACTGAATGGCATTCTCTCCTCAGCTGACATCACATTTTCAAGCTTGCCTATGGCTGGGAAATCTATCTGAGGTTCACTTCTTTGCAAGTTTCTTCCCTATAGGAAAAGCCAGGCAGAAAGCAATCGCCTAATTCACTTTCTCTACCCTAGATTGGAATGCTGGCATGGAAGAATCTGAAAGGCTAGTGTGATCTCTGTCTCCATTAAGGAGCAGCTTTCAACTTGGCTACTTCAAATTGTCCTTGCCTCTCTGTGGAGAGGAAGAAAATGCATGCCATCATCTTTTGTTTAATTAACTTTTTATTTTAGGCAAATGTAGATTTGCATGTCATTGTGAGAAATATGACATACAGATCCTGTTTATGTTTTATCCATTTCTCCTAGTAGCAACATCTTGCTAAACTCCAGTATCATTTCACAACCAGAGTGTTGACATGGATCCAAGTCAAAAATACAACCTTTCCTTCACCACAAGGACTCTTTCTCCTGCTCTCCTATGGCCACATTTTCCTTCTCTTCCTATCACACCCTGTCCGCACCTCTAACCTCAGGTCTATATTTCTGTATATTCGCCATTTCATAAATATTATACAAATGGAAATGTACAGTATGGAGTCCTTTTATTGGCTTTTTTTCCACTCAGCATAAATCCAAAGAGACTCACCCAATGCTTCTCAGTTTAAGTCCTTTAACTACTGAAGGGCGTCTATGTTTTATATAGTCCTGATTGTTTAAATAAAACTGCTGTAAAAATTTATATACAAGTTTTTGTGCGGATGTTGCCTTCATTTGGGAGGAATGGGCAGATAAGTTCCCAGGAGTATGAATGGATCATATGGTAGTTGGACATTAGTTTTATAAGAAACTGCCAAACTTTTACAGTGTTACTGAACTATTTTATATTCCCACCAGCAATAATAAGTGATCCATTTTCTCTGTATCTCTGTCAGTATTTGGCACTGTGAAATATATATATATATATATATATATATATATATATATATATATATATGAAATTCTCCATAGGTATGTAATAACATGTCATTGTGATTTTAATTTGCATTTCTCTAATGGCTAATGTTGACTATTTTTCATGTGTGGATTGGTCATTGTTGTATTTCTTTGCGGGAAATACCATGTCTCTGCTACGGTTTAGATATGGAGTGTCACCCAAGGGCCCATGTGTTAGAGGTTTAGTTCCCAGCTTGGTGCTACTGGGAGGTGGAAGGAGGTGAGACCTACCAGTAGGTCTCCAGAAGGTCATTCAGGGCATGCCTTCAATAGGGATTTTGGGACCCTAGTCTCTTTCTCTTCTTCTTTTTGCTTCCAGACCGTGAGGAGAGAGCTGTTGCTCCAACAAGTGCCCCCACCATGATGTCCCACCTCACCACAGGCCTAAAAGCAACAGGACCAACTGACCTGAACTGGAGCCTCCATTACTGTGAGCCAAAAGGAGCCTTTTCTCTCTGAGCTAAATTATCTGAGGTATTCGCTATGATGACCAAATTTGATTAACAGTGTCTGTAAAATGTCTGCTCATGTCCTTTGCCCAATTTTCACATTAGATCTTTTTAACTGTTGTTTGAACATTCTAACTGGTTTTCTAGATACTAGTTTTTTGTGGGATATGTGGTTTGCAAATATTTTCTCTCAGTTTTTAGCTTGTCTTTTTATCTTATTCACAGGGTCTTTCAGAGGGTAAGTTTTTACTTTTGATGAGTCTAATTATCAATTTGATTATGCTTTTGGTATAAAGCCTAGGAGCTCTTCACTAGATAGGTCATGAATATTTTCTTCTGTTATTTTCTAAAACCTTTCCTACTTTTTCTACAACATAGTTAGATTTGCGATCCATTTTAGGTTAACTTTTATATAAAGTGTGACATTCAGATCTAGGTTATTTTCTTCTCCCACTAAATTGCTTTGGTATGTTTGCTAAAAATTAGTACCTAGAATAATCAAATTAATAGAGACTTATAGTAGAAGAGTAGTTACCAGTAGACAGGGGCAAAGAAGAAGAGGTACAGAGTCTCAGTACAGGAAGACAAAAACTTTTTGCAGAATGGCCCTGATGGTTACATAGCAATGTGAACATAGCTAATGCCACTGGCATTAGGCTAAAATATAAAATTTATGTTATGAATAATTTATAAGAGTAAAAAAAATCAGTTGGAGATAGAGTCGATTTCCAAGTTCTCTACTCTGTTCCACTGATGTAAGTGTCTGTCCCTCCACTAACACACACTGTCTTTATTAAGGCAGTTCTGTAAGCAGAGTCTCCTGCTGTGAGTTTTGTTTCTGTCATCAAATATGACCTAAGAATGCATGAGAATTAGGACAGTTGATTAAATTTTAGCCATATTTTCACCCATCCCAATGCTTTCCTTGCCTTTCTGAGATGTTAATCCTCATTACTATTTCCTTTCTTGTTAGAGAACTTCCCACAGCCATCATTTATGGGTAGGCTTGTTAGCAACAATGTCTTAGTTTTCCTTCATCTGAGAAAGCCTTATTTTCCCTTTCTGCTTGAAGGATATTTTACTGAATACATAATTCATAGTTGATGGTTCTTTTCAACTTGAAAAATGCCACTTCCTTCTGGCCTTCCTGGCTCCAGAGGAGAAATTTACTGTAATTAAAATGGTGTTGCCCAATGGGAAATGCACCGTCTCTCTGGATGTTTTCAAGGTGTTTCTTTTACCTTTAATTTTTGTAAATTTAATTAATTATACTCTTTTGGCATAGATTTCTTTGGTTTACCCATTTGGGTTCACTTAGCTTCTTCATGTGTAGTTTAGGCATTTATTCATATACTTTTTTGGTCTCTCTGTGTGCTCTCCTTTTGGGATTCTGATGATAGGAGATTTATCTCTTTTATTATAATCCTGGGGGTCTTTAAGGCTCTGCTCACTTTTTGTTTCTCAGTCTGTTTCCTCTTTGTTGTTCAAAATAAACATACTCTATGGATATATCCTTACATTTGCTAATTGAGCCCTTAACTCTTGAGCTCATTTGGCAAGTTTTTCTCTTTTAATTTTGGTTTCTGCATTTTTCATTATATAATTTCCATGCTCTTTAAAAAAAAGTCTGTATCTTGGCTGAGCTTTTCCACCTTTTTGTTTGTTTTAAGAGAATTCATAGTTGCTTGTTGAAGCATTTGTTTGTAACGGTTGTTATAAAGTCCTTGTCAGATAATTCTAACACCTGATTCAGTTAACATTGGCTCCTATTGTCTTTTCTCATTCATGTTGTAATTTTCCTGTGATGAGTAGATTTGTGTTGCATTGTGGACATTTTGGATGCCACCATTATGAAACTATGGATCTTATTATCTTCATTTTCCAGCAGGCAGTCTTCCTGTTCAGGTCTATCACAGATTTAAGTGAATGAATATGCTTAGCTTCTAGCTGGCCTCCGATCCAGGGTGTAAGACCAGCTTTCTGATGGCTCTGCCGCTCTCAGAGTTGGGGAAACAGAGGCTGATTCACTATGGAGGAGGGTGAAATTCAACTTCTCACGGGCCCCATTACTCCAGCGAGGAGGGTAGCAGAAGCAGCATCAGCTATTCCATCTCCTGCCATCTGTTCCACCAGTGGGGGCAGGGGGCACAGGGAGGTTGACTAGCTGTAATTGAACTTGCCTCTGTTAACTTTGCAGATGGCGGGATGGAGGGGAAGCTGAGCTCACCACTGGGCCTTACTGGAGGTAAATAACCTGCCTTGCCCTGCCTCATCACTGCGTCTTCTCAAGTCTCTTTGTGGCTGCGTGGAGGCTAAGGCTTAGTTTGCTGCATGACCCCATTGAAAACCAGACCACCTTCTGTTCTGTTGGGTGGTAGATGGCAGATCTGTTCCCCACGCAGTCCCAGTGAAACCACAGTGAGAGTGTTTGGTTGGAGTAGGGTAGCTATTGCCAAAGAGGTTCTCTGTAGATGGGTTACTCCTTTCCAGGTCCCTTGGCTGGGGGAAGGAACAGGCCTTTCTTGGAATCCTTTTCATCTGTGCCTGACAGCTGGTCCCTCCCTCCCTTCCTTCGTTTCCTCCCTCCCTCCCTCCCTCCCTCCTTCCTTTCTTCCTCCCTCCCTCCCTCCCCTCTCTCATTCCTTCTCTATCATTCCCTCTCTATCCTCCCTCCCTTCCTTCTTTTTTCCTTCCTTCCTTCCTTTCCTTCCTCTCTCTCCTTTCCGCCTTCTTTCCTTTCTGTTTATTTCTCCCCCCCATTCCTTCCTGTTTCTCTCCCTCCTTCCCTTTCCTCTCACCTCTCCTCCCCTCCCTTCCTTCCTCCCTCCCTCCCTTGCTTCCTCCCCCTCCCTAGCCTCTCTTTTGATTGTTTTTTGAGACAGGGTCTTGCTATATAGCCAGGCTGGCTTGAAACTTGTGATCCTCTTGCTTCTGCCTCCATAGTACTGGGATTACATGTGTAAGCCATCACACTCAGCCAAGTTGGAAGTTTCTGCAGTGCTCTGTCTGTGATGTGTGGGAGCAGCAAAGAAGCTCCTGAAGCTTCCTAACCTGCTATTTCTCAAGGCTTCTTCTTTCCACCTTTCAGTCTTCCCCTGCTTGCTGTTGTGTTACACTCAAGGTTCAATAGTTGTTGAGAGGGAGGGTGAAGGAGAAATAGCGACTCTCCTCACTTTTGCTACTTGAATACAGGGGCAGTGAGTAGACAGAAAACAAGTCTCTGGTATAGTAGGCGAAAGAACCAAAAGTTTGTAGGTTCTAAGCTGAGCTCACTATAGTACTAAGGAGAGAATGGATGGGGCAGGGCGTCTGGGGAAGTTGTTTGGAAGGCCTTCAGTATCTGTAGTCACTAGTTCTAATTTATCAGGAACATTTTCTTTCTAGAAAAGATCTACTTGAGTGTACCGATTTGTACTCTCTGTAAAGCATGAAAGAACCTAGGAATTAATGGATGCCCAAATGCTTGGAATGATATTTCAAGTCGTCATTTGACTGCCTATGTGTGATTCTTTACACTATTTAGATGTCGGGGCCAGAAGCAGACAGAGGTAATATTCAGCCTCCTGTCTGCCTCTGTCTCCACTTACCTTCCTTTTTGACATGAGCCTTTATATATCTGCGTTCATAAGGTATCCAAAGTCATAGTACTCAACTTGCTGAATTTTCAAAGTGAATAAGCCATGTTGAAGAAAAGAGATCCTTAGCGGCCACCAACGTGTTATTATTGCACCTTCCACCCCTGCCAGAAACCAGCATCCTGTCTTCTACAACAGATATTCTCACGGGCCACTCCTGTCTCTCTCCTAATTGAAATAATTGTATTTCTACCCACAGCTGTAAGAAATAATACACATAGATTGTATTCTTTGCCCATTTTCACCAATGGTAACATTTTGCAAAACTGCAGTTTAAGGTCCCAGTCAGGACACTGACACTGATAAATTCTACCTGTCTTAGTCAGATTTCCTAGTCCTACGTGTGCACATTTGTGTGTTGAGTTCAAAACAATGGTAAGGAGTCTTGTTTAGCTACCATCCAGTCATGAGGGATGTCACAGCTCCAACATTGTAAGCACTCTTCATAGTGCCAATTTATAGCCATGCCCATCCCCCCCCACCTCTGGCAGCTGCTAATTTAGCCTCCACTCATAACATTTTGTCACCTCAAAAATGTTGTACAAGAGGAATCATACAATATGGACACTTTTGCAATTGGCTCTCTTTGCTCAACAAAGCAACCCTTTTTTAAATATAATTGGAATATTTTTAGAGATACACCTGAGTTTTATTAGAAACCATGTAGCTATAGTTGTTCTCAACTGATACATTTAAATGCATGCCTCTCATCATTCAAAAACCTAAGGGCAAATATTTATCCTCAAGTAAGCATTCCTAGACAAGAATTATTATAATTTATGCTCCTTAATGGTTACTTAGGGGAGATATGCAAAGGGAATTATAAGTATCATTCTGATCTTAAGGATTATTAGTAGCATGTGTTAAGGAGAACAACAGCTACAGAGGCCCACAGAGGGCCTAGACAGTGATATTCCTGGGAAGTTATTAAGATATCCACAAAACTGGCAGGTACTCGCGGCTCACGCCTGGAATCCTAGCTACTCAGCAGGCAGAGATCAGGAGGATCACAGTATTAAGCCAGCTCGGGCAAACAGTTGGAGAGACTCTATCTTGAAGAATACCTAACACAAAAAGGGGTGAAAGAGTGGCTTAAGGTGTAAGCCCTGAGTTCAAGCCCCAGTACCACAAAAAAAAAAAAGATATCCACAAAACTGACTTGCTGTATTTTTCATTCTAATAAAAGGTAAAACTCACTGAGTAAATGGAACTACCAAGACAAACAATACCCATGAAGAATCTCATTTGTGAAAATTCCTTTTAAAAACAGGCTTTGTTACTGTCAATTCTATTGTCTAACTACTTTTAATCCTTGTAATCTACTGGTTACTTCCTCACATTAACAGTTCTAATTTTTCAAAAGGCCACATTTGTAGGTGCCTGGGAAGTTACATCTTCCGTGTGCAGTGACCTTCATCCCCATTTACTTACCTGTTCTCATACTGAAATTTTGCCAGTATGTCCTTGGCTTTGGTTTGACTATTCAGTTGTATCGCCATGGAGACCTTGGAGAGAAGCGGAGCATGGACCCTGATGACTCCTTCTGGCACATCAGACTGTCAACAAGGAAAAATTCAGAACACCGTCAAACTAGGGTGCTGTCACTTCAGAGACTGCACTTAAGAAGTAGGAAAAACAGATGCATTTGGAATTAGGAAAATATGTCCACATGACCAATGCTCAATCAGAATGGAGCAGTGCTTTTTTTTTAACCAGGATACTAATAACTAAACTTAATCTGGAAGTTTACCTTCACTACACATGCAGGTCTTATTGTAGGTCTTACTAATGGTTTAAAATCATGACAGGAATAAAACTGGGTCTGACAAAAATCTGATATTTCTATCAATGTCCTAAACAAGCTTACCTTAAGCAGGATTATAGATTTAATTTATTTAAGAAGATCAACTCTTTAAAACAATTAGAAAATACTTCTCAAACCCTGTCCTTGCTCAGTTAATAGCCATGAGTGGCCAGTCCAAATTGAATTCCATACAGGCACTTAAAAATCCATCCTGCAAAGTGTGCTGATGACACCCTGCAGGGCAGGGTGTGAACCACTGTGAAGGGGTGTGTGTTTTCATAAGACGTGACTGGCATGGGGCCTCAGAGCTATTGGCTAAAAAGAATATTCAAAGACTGGTGCTGTCTGATTAACAAATTTCTATCTTGTCAGAATGGAAAATTCCTTTTATTTCAAAAATTTGAATCTTTTAAAAATTAATTGTCAAGGATACGAAGAGAAATAAATTTCCATTTGTTTTAGGATCTAGCTCATGCTCAGGTAACTGCTTTAAATCTGCACTTTCTCAAAGGATGGCCCTGGTGATGCAGAAGATGTACATAAATTGATTCAATACACACACTAGAACAACTGTGTCATGGGTTGAAGTGTGTCCCCAAAGCCATATTTTGAAGTCCTACTGCCCAGAACCGCAGAATGTGGCCTTATTTGGAAAAAGGGCCTATTTCAAATGTCATTGATTAAAATGAGGTTGACCTGAGGTAGGTGGGCTCTTAACGCCATAGGACTTGTCCTTGTAAGAGGAGAGACTCAGGAACACACACAGTGAGAATGTCACATGAGGATGGAGGCAGAGACTCGAGTGATGAATCGACAAGCTAAGAAATGCCAAGGGCTGTTGGCATCACCAAAGGTAACAGAGGCCTGGGACTGAGCCTTCCTTCATGGCTTTCAGAAGAAGCCAGCTCTGCCAACACCTTGATTAGACTTTTAGCCTATAGAACTGCAAAAAGCATTTCTACATTCTACTGTCTTACAGCCACATTTCTATTGTTTTAAGCCATCTCGTTTATGGTACCTTGTTATGGTATTCCTAGGAACACAAAATAAAATACTTTTAAGTAGACTCAATTTTTATAATACTTTCCTAATATTACCAGCAAGACCAAGGGCCCATGCCTGGGGATGGATGTTAACAGATCTTGACTGGGGAGGAGACAAAGTCCCTAGCAGAATGCAGCCAAGATTGTGGTCCTAAAATACTCTTCTGACCACCTCATGTCCTTTCCCTCCCAGCTTCCCAGAAGCCTCTGTAGGATAGCTTCTACACTCTAACATCACTGGGCCCAAGGCCATAACAGTCTCATCTCCCTATAACTTTTAGTGCATTCACACCTCTGTACTGGACACCTAACCATACACGTGGAATCATGAGTTAGTTGAATCTCTGTACACTGCTTCACATTCTGTACTGCAAATGCCAAACTGGAATAGATCATGACAAGAATTATACAAGAATGTGGCCAGAGAATACTACATAGTGGGACAGAAATTGTTTCCTTACCATTCTTCTTGAAGAGGGTGATTTCTGTAGTACCTTTGAAGTTTTTGGACTTGTTACCTAAAGAAAACACACTTAGATTTTAGAACTGATGTCAGGAAGCCAAGTGTATGCTGCTTTTTGGAAATGTAATCTGGTACAATTTTTAAAGAAAAACATTTTGGCAATATTCATCAAAACATAAAAGGTATATGTACTTTCATCCCCCCCTAATTCTACACGAATAAACTTATGTTTGAAATATATTTCATTTTCGTCAATGAAATACATGAATATTTGAATAAACGTGAATATGCAAGTTTATTGAAGCACAAATCATAATAGCAAATGACTGGACACCAGCTAACTCTTCAATCACTTGGGGTTGAACAGTATAAAATAAATTACTGTATATCTATAGAAAACCATGCAAGAGAAGCAGCTGTGTGGGCTGCTATGGAATAATCACTACGATTTCTTAAGTCAGTAAACGCAAGGCAGGACAGTTTTTTTGTATGCTACTGTTTATGCAAAACAGGAGAAGGATATATACAGTTGTCTCTTGGTGTCCACTGGGGATGGGTTCCACAACCCTCAGATACCAAAATTCACTGATGCTCATAAAAAGTGGTATAGTATTTGCATAAAACCTACTTTTATCTTCCTGTCTACTTTAAGTCATTTCTAGATTATTTAAAATACCTACTCCAATATAAATGCTGTGTAAATAAATTGTTATAATGTTTATGGAGTAAAAACAAGAAAAAGTATGCATGTTCAGTACTGATGCAGAATTTTTTCCAGAATATTTTCAGCCTGCAGAGGGGAAACCTATGGATCTAGAGGGTCAACTGTATTCAGATTTGCAATCTATGAGCACACAACATCTCTGCAGGTATACAGACCTGTATGTCCTGGGTAAAAGCAGCCTGTCCTTGCTAATATTTGTCTTTAAGAGGGGAAGTCAGAGGTGTCTAATTTTTTAAAAAGCCTTTCCAAGCTTTTGAATTTGTAACTTGTTAATGAATTATCTACACCAATCAAAAATAACAATTAAAAATATAGGCTATTACAATAGAACTAAAGAGAGCCTCTTCTTTAAGTGTTTGCTTCCCTGGTATTTTCAACCTTTGCCTTCTATCTTGGTTCTATACACAATCAAAACATTAAAGCAACTGACATTCATAGAGCCAGGTATGGTTTACAAAGTGCTTTACACACAAATCGTAAGTCAAGCCTATGGACAACTCTGAGAAATAGGCAGCTTAATGCTGAGGATACACAGGCTCAAAGAATAAATGGAGCTTTCTCAGGCTCCAATAGCAAGTAGTTGGCAACCTGGACTTGGCTTCAGCTTTCCAGCTGTCACACTTATGTCATTAAAACCTTCCACTGTAAAATAGAAACTCTAAAAGTCTGTCCCTCTACAAACTCAGTGGCAAAAAGTGGGAGTGTGAACTTCTTCAGAACTCTGGATCCAAACCCAAGGGTTGCAACCAAGGGAATGAGTTGGTGAAGACACAACCCAATCTTGGTGGGAACAGTAGCGTGTTTTTGTTCTGTTAGACACAGGCTATCACTATATAGACCAGGTTGACTTCAAAGTCACTTCTCCTGTCTCAGCCTCTCTAAGTGAGTGCTAGGATCACAGGTGTGTGCCACCACACCTGGCCTTTGTGGTGTTTTCTTAGACTTTTCCCATTCCTGCTTCCTAGCACAGCCAAAGTCTTGAGAACAACAGCCTGGATTCCTGGTGCAGGCACAGAGGGAGCAGCACGGGCCTCGTTAACAAAAAATTTCAACTCCTTGTTGTGGCATGGGGGGCTTCCTGCAAGACTGAGTGAGAGCTTGCCTTTTTGGTGCCTAACTTGGAACCTGAGCAGCCGTAATGGGGTTTATAGGCGAATATAGCCAGAGCTACCTCATACAGTGGATGAGGGCTGGGGAAAGCAAGTTAGCTGAAACGCTTGAGCAAGGCTGGACACAGATGCATCCTGCAATAAGCGCTCTGGAACACTTTGACATGCTTGTGAGCATCTAGAAGGCCACATGCACACCCAAGTCTGAGGGTACACCCAGAAAAGACCCAGAAAGAGTGTAGACTCTCATCTCTGGCCAAACCGCACACTCTGCCAACAGGAGGTAAAGGCTCAGGCCAAGTTATAAACTGTCTCACTTGGTGTGGAAGGTGAATGCTGGCACACATAGCGCATGTGCAAAGACTGTGAGAGGCTTTTGGTTTTAAACACTGAAGAAAATCTCTGTCTAATCCTTAGCTAACCACTAAGCTAATGGGACAGAGACTTCGGTAGCCAAGCAAAACAAAAAATGCCAACTTTACAACAGTTCAGCAGAAAAGCCACCAACCAAGCAACAACCAAAATGGATCTGATTTCCAAGGTTGCCATATTATAATACTCAGATGTCCAATCTTCAATCAGCAGTTATTGGACAGTCAAAAAAGGCAAGGAAATATGGCCATATACATTGAAACTACTGAAAAAGGCAGTTTCAATAGTTAAAAAACACAAAAACAACAAAAAAACCACACGCTAAGGAAGACTGGATATTGAACTGACTATAAAAATCCTTCAAATCATCTATTTTAAATATTCAGAAAAACTAACAGAAATCATGTCTACTAGTTGTGGCTGCACAACATCAGTATGTTGAAACCACTGAACTGTACAATTTAAGTGGTTAAAATAATGAATTTTATGTTACGTAGATTTTTGCTCTAAATTATACAATTTTTTTGTTCAAATAAAAGGGTCAGTTCTGGCCAGGAAGATAGCTCAGTGGTACATGGCCAAAAGGCCTTGGTTTTGGTCCCTGGCACTGAAAAGAAAAAGGAAAACAAGTGTGGGTTCTGCTTAATATGAAGTCATTTTGTGTGCAATGAATAAGGAACACAGCCATTTGCCACAATTACAGTAAATTAATTAACTCTCTCCTGCCGCCTTTTCCCTGGATGACTACCCTCCTCTCTCCCTTTACAGTGTTATCCATCCTGCAAGGTGTAGCTCAATGCCACTTCCTCCATGAAGTCACCCACGATTCACACGCTGAAGCCATGTCTCTAAGCTGGCCCGGTGCTCATGCACACAGCTGGGAATTTACAGCTCTTAGATACCTCGTCTCCCAAACTGTGTAAGTTCCTTTAAATACAAAATGAGTTTCAAAAATCCACCTCCATGCAAGGGTGAATGCAATCAACACCTAACATTGTGGTCATCCCCAAGTTCAACTGCAGCCATACAGTCATTCTTCTAAGACCCATTTCCAGGATGTATCTCTGTACCACTTATTGCAGTAAAGCAAAAACACCTGGGAATGCAGTGGACCTACACAAAGCCATCTGAGGATTATTTAGTCTTCTGTTATTCACTCAACGATAAAGCAATCTCTTAATCTGGTCCTAAATCACCCTTAAATCTAGTTTGCAGAGACTTAAATGTTGACTTTCAGCCTTTGTGAGAACATTTTGCCATTCTGGTAAGCTCTTAATAGACAAACAATCTTCACAAGACAGCTATTTTAAGAACTTTAACCACAAAAATTCCACAAAGTGGAAAGACCACAGTACTCTGTGAACACCCATTCCACAATGCTCACAGTGACAAGACTGTCTGCAATTTCTGGTTCCAAATTATAAGCTACTTTGTGCCTCCTCTGAGGAATAAAAACCTGGGTTGTCAAGGGTCCGTGGGCATCACGTGGAGTCACACTCACCTCTCGTTCTAGCGTCCTCCTTCTGAGGAGCTTTCGCATGCTTGGTTGCTGCTTCTTCAGCAGCATGGTGGCTTCATTCATCCTTCTGACTTGGGCAATTAGGAAGGACGGGACCTGGGGAGAAAAAGCAGCTTGACTAGAGGAGTGAGGCCTCCCTGTAGATTCGGTCCACCCCTCCCCCATTCTGCTCAGAAGTGGGGGCTTCTGTTTAATAGAGAAACATGCTACAGAGAAGTGTCTTGGTATCCAAGAGGGACTGGGCCCAGGACCCCTCAGGTACCAAAATTTTTGGAGGCTCCAGGACCCTTATACACTGGCATAGCACCTGCATATAACCTACTACTTTTAAGGCACCGTGCCCAGTTCAATGTAAACACACGCAAATCGTTGTGCTGTGTCATTCAGGGAAGAATGACAAGAAAAGGGTCTGTAGGTGTTCAGGACAGATGTGGTTTTGGAGGGGTATTTGTGACCTGTGGCTGTGGCGATGAAAGTAGTCTGGGGCCATCTTCCCCTGTTTCCTCGCCGACCAAGGGAGCAGCCTGGCCATGGGGCTTGCATCCCTCCCGAGGGGAAGCTGCTGTCCCCGCTGTTACCTTCCACAGCATCTTCTGGTATTTGAGCATCAGGCGGATGATGTGTGTGGCTGTGTTGGCCAGCTGCAACTCCTCGCAGTCCGAGTGTCTGCTTCTGCTGAAGAACAGGTTCGGGGCCATCACCGTGGAGATATTCCACATGCTCATTCGGTTCTTTGACTCATTGGCAATCACTTTATTGAAGAATGTCATCAGGGCCTAACAAGAAACAGCATGGGGTGGGGGGCGGGGTGGATCACACTAGTGTAACTTATCAGAAGGCTCCATGATCGCAACTTCCCCTCACTCTGTTCTGCAGGCCTGGGGTTTGAACTCAGGGCCTCCCATTTGTGAGGCTGAGGCTCTCCCACTGGGCCATGTCCCACACCCCTCCCCCTTTGATGCTTTTAGTTTGTTTTTCAGGGAGAGTCTCACACTTTTGCCAGGGTCAGCTCAGACTGTGATCCTCCTGCCTCCACCTCCCAAGTAGCTGGGATTATAGCCATGCACCACCATGCCCAGTGTGTGGCCACTTATGTCTATACCCATCTACAGTGCTGCCATAAAAATGTTGGAGGCACAGAACGGGTAAATGTGTCTGGTGTTGCCTTTAATTATTTAAAAGTGCTAAGAAGAAAGGTGAGAAGTTTATTCAATCTGTGCTTCATAAAATAATTCCATTTTTATGAAGCTTATTATCTTGGAGATTAAGTAATAGTTTTACATTTTCTCATATCCTAAACAAGTTTGGCAAATATTAAAATTAAACATAAACTAGGGAGAGTAAATGCTGAAGCTCAAATAAACATGATATGTGCTTTTGCTGTGAAGAAAAATGACTCTCAAAACTCATTAACTTAAAGCATTACTGTTGAAAACAATGTTTCCTTGTCAAATGAAAACCCATTTGCAAAACACAAGTATTGCATTCCTCAGTCCAATGTAAACTCAGTTGAAAATTTTCAAAAATTTACTTTTGGGTTGTCATTTTCCTAATGATTTTGGGGTTTTTTTTGTTTTATTGAGATAGGGTCTCACTAAGTTACCCCTGCAGGCCTTGAACTCACAATCCTCCAGCCTCAGCCGTCTAAGTTCTGGGGGTATGGCGTGTGCCAACACAGCCTCTTTTGCATGCTTTTCTATTTTGAAGTTATTAGTAGGTCACAGCAACCCTTAAATGTGGCTGTTTTGAGAATTAAAAGAAAAAAAGATTTGAGGCAAGCTGAAATGTTTGCTGGATCGCTGAAGTACAGACACTTAGCAGAACTGTCGAGAGTGGCCAAGAAGACTGAAGTCTTGAAGGGGAGCTCCATGGTTTTCAAGTGAGACTCCCACTCTGGTCTTGTTTCTGTTCTTGGCAGTCCTGGGGTTTGAGCTCAGGGCCTCGTGCTCGTGCTCTACCACCACAAAAAGTATCCACACCACGGATATTTTTGATTCTAGGTTATTTTTCAAGTAGTCTTGCTTTCACCCCAGTGGCCAGCTTCAACAGCCATCCTCCTACCTCTGCCTCCTACATAGCTGAGACCACAGGCATGCACCACCACACCCAACTTCTTTGTTGAGATGGTGTCTCACTAAAGTTTTGCCCGGGCTGGTCTCTTGCCATCATCCTTCCACACCCTATGATCTGGGCACTGTTCTTAATACTGTTTTACAGATGAGGAAATGAAGATGGAGAGGAACTGAGAAGCTTTGCCCAGAGCCAGAATCTGAACCAAGGAAACTGATTGTTGAGCTAGCATTTTAAATTTTTTTATTTTTTTGTTGGTATTGGGGTTTGAACTCAGGGCCTCACACTTGTTAAGCAGGAACTCTACCACTTGAGCCAAGCCCTCGGTCCTTTGTGCTCTAGTTATTTTTTGGATAGGGTCTCACATTTTTGCCTGGGGTTGACCTCAGATCTCAATCCTCCTACCTATACCTCCCATGTAGCTGAGATTACAGGGCTGAAACACCACACTTGGCTTGTTTTTTGAGGTGGAGTTTCACTATCTTTCTGCCCAGGTGTGCCTTGAACCATGATCCTCCCCCCCCTTTAACTGGTGAGCCACCATGCCTGGCCTTGAGCTACCATGCCTGGCCTTGAGCTACCATTCTTGTCCACTGCACCTTACTACCTTCAACCCAGGAACAATTTAGAGTGAAGACAAAAGGAATACATGCACATATGTACATATGTGTTGTGTATACAGTCCTATGTACATGTACCTGTGTAACATCTTCACCAGCCCTGTGATATTTTGGGGAATCTTTTCTTCAAATGTTTTGAATCATTTGTTACTTGTTGCATCTTCAGCTATCTGAAAGGGTAGGTGACATCTTGACTGAGATATCTTGATGTCACACGGATGTTCTTGATAAAAACAACATTGTTTAGACAACAGCAAAGACCAGTTAATAAATGTATAGCTTTTGAAAAAGTACTGAATTATACTAGAAACATTTCGTGCCTTGCTAGTTCCCGTTTAGCTGGGAGAATATGGATAACTGACGTGTGTTATGGAAGCGTGAGGGTTTTCTCTGTGTAGGGAAAGGTCCTCTCCATGCTGACATGTGTCTTTGTCATCAGCATTAGGATTAGGATTAGTGGCCTCAAAATTGCGGACTTCTTTCAATGCATCCTGACCTCACTTTCATTTCAGACTCCAGATACCTATAGCACGTAAAACAAATTTCCTAACGTGCATAGAATCACTACAAAAATGGCAAGGGAAACTTCAACTTTTACCAATATACGTAATGGAACGAAGGTGAAAAGGGGGAGAGGTATTTGACGCATTCCATCAAATGGGTTATGACGCAGTGATGGAGAAACCACGACTCTGAACGCCACTCTCCTAACTGCAACGTGACCAGATTCTATCAGATGATGGCTAAACTTTGAAATTCTAGGATGACTTTAAAAAAAAAGTATTCATACGTTTTAAAAACATGAACACTTTAGAAATTTCACCTAACTTGACGATTTTAAATTTCCTCTTTAAAGACACTAATTTTTTTTTTTTTTTGCCACTTAGACTGGAGCAAGCAGCTGAGTGTTTGCAACAAAAGAGTCTTGTAAGGTACAAAATAAATGGTGTTGTTTCCATTCAGGCCCCTTTGCTACTCCTGACACGTAGCCCAGTGCCCGACCCATGGTCAGACACTCAATGCCCTCCAAATGAACTGAAGGTACAAGACTCAGGTGTCCCAAGACACTCCGGGGCTGCCATTCTTGCTATCTTCCTTGGCACACGGCACTGGGATCACAGGCAGGCAGTGGGTCTGTGGCCTGCTCAGATGGGAGTTGTCATCTCTGTTTCTGCTTTCCCCAGATGAGCCATAAGAGCTCAAAAGAGACCACAAGGTTGGTGTGACATACCTGGGCTGTGTCCCTGTTGGCATCTGGCAGAGCCATGACCATGAGGTGTAAGGCTTGAAACTGGACTTTGACATGAGGCTCCCCTGACAAGAAAACAGAAATAATGACAGGCTGGAAACAACACTGATGCATCCCAATGGCATTTCTTGCTAACATCTGGTGGCACAGGAGGGCTTCTGACAGCTTTTGGTGTTAAGGGTTTTGTGTACAATAATGTCAATTTGTAAACTTGGACAAGAGCCTTACTTATTAACTCCCCTTCAATTCCATAATGCCCTGGGGTAGAGACAGGTGGCCAAAAAGATCCTCAAAATAGCTAGATCTGTATGACATTTCCTTTTGCAAAGTACTTTACAGACCTTGCCCTACTTTTATGCTTCTGTTTAAAGACCTGAAGGTCAATTCAAGAGCAAATAAGCCTTGCTTCCACCTAAGAAGTCAGCAGCATATAGTTATTAGGAATGTACATTCTAGAACCAGATTCAAAGCCTGCCTACTACTGAGTCACTGTGCAGGGTGGGGTGGGGTGGGGTATTTAAACCCTCCTGGCTTCCATTGACTGTGAAATGGCGGATCAGACCATGTCTACCTCCCATGGCTGAGAGGAGGATTACAAGAGGTAATACATGTACAGTGTTCCAATCAGTACATCAGTGTAGTTACTGTATTGTGTGTGGGCTCTTGTTTTTATGACCAATGACACTTATTCTAGATTTTTTTTCCTTTGGGGGTATTGGGATTTGAACTCAGGGCCTTGTCCTTGCTAGTAGGTGCTCTAATACTTAAGCCATGCACCCAGTCCTTTTTGCTGTAGGCCTTTTTGTTTTTCCCCAGATAGGATCTCAAGTTTTTGCCCAGGGCTGGCCTCAAATCATGATCATCCCACCTCTGCTTCCTTCCTAGCTGAGATTACAGGCATGTTCCACCATGCCTGGCCTACTATAGATCCACGTGAATATTTAGGGAAGGTTACTGTAGTTAGAACTCTGGAGACTGTTGAATGTTTTGTTCCTTAAAGACACAAGGTGGCACCAGAGGGCTGGCATTTATACACAGGGGATCCACACACACAGGATAATCCACAGTCAGCCATGCTGAAAATTTACAGTACACCAGGGAATCCAGGCTTTCCCCTTTATCTCTCTGCACTCTCTCAAAATGGTCTCTTGATGAGGAGTTCCCTTAGGAAAGCATTATGGTCTGGAGTCCTCAAGTTGAAGGAAAACTATTTCTATCTGATGGCTGAGAGGCCGCCCCTTGCTCCTAAAGTTACAGAGCTCCACAGCAGTGGAAACACTGTCACGACAGGCTGGGAGGACACTGGAGGCTGTGTGTGCCAGAGTTAGGGAGAACTAGGTAACAGGTGCATAAAGCCATGTGATAAAGGAGCAGAGGGAGAGAGATTTATAGGATCTTACTCCACTGTCTCAGCACCATCCACATGTGCACTTCAGGTATTTACGTCAAGTTTGTAAACAAAACCTGACACAAGTCTAGGAGGTCACTGAAAATGGCTAATGTACACTGACATGAGACTGTGGGTAGTACCATAAGACAGTGTTTTAATGATGGGCTGGAGGCTGAGGCTGCCTCTGATCTTCCAATGCAACCCAAAAACTCCTCCAGGGAAAACAGAAGATGTAGATGGAGGCCTGGGAGCTCTCTGCTTCCATCAGCTGCCGAGAAATGATGACGTTCCCTTCACAATTAAAAGTCTAATTTGGAAAATAATCCATTTTCATTTCACTTAGGCAAGTTGGCCCGACACTGTTTTGTGGTTAATAGTTTTGTAGTTAATTTGTTTAACGCATCCTAGTAGAGAGCATTCTTTTTCCTGAGCTCATTATTTTCCTAGAAAGTTGTAATGCTTTCCATGAAAGTATCTAAGGCTGGATTGATGAACTATTAGCCCTTTAATTGTACAGGCAACTCTGGGGCCAATATTAACAAGAGAAGATAATTACATGAGTGGGAAACAGCCTGTGTGTGCTCTCTGAGCTCCATGTGCGTATCAGGAGGGGAGCTTACACACACACACACACACACACACACACACACACTCACTCATGTTCACAGTTACAACTCGGGCTTCTTTCACGTGGGAAAGGCCATTATTTTCTGTGGGTTGCAGGCCAGACTTTGGACTTCCTGCCTAGTTGTCTGTATCAAATCAATCACCTGCAATATAGCATCCGTCACTTTCAAAGTCCCACAAAGAAGTGTGATCCCTTTGTGCAATCTCTCAGGATATTTGTCACACTCCCCTCTTTGAGGAAGCAAATTGGCTGCAATCAGATAGGGAGGCATGGCAGGAAGAAGGGATGGGAAGCTCATTTATCCACCTGCCTTTTTAAATATAATTCTCTGAGCAGCACTGGCATTGGAGGTTTGAATCCTCTTTGCATAGAAAAACAAAGAAAAACCAAAAATCCTCTAGGGCCTCAGTGTGTTTTGATGGGTTATTCGGCACATAAACCACAGAGCAAGGGAAAACAAATAATTTTGCAACCCATTTTCTAGGCGAGCTAACATCATAGAAAATCCTGCAATTTTTTTTTTAACTTAAAATTAGGAATTCTGCGACAGGCGTGGCTGAGTAAACTCCTAGCAAACAGTCATCCTGCAGGTGACGATAATAATCTGTGGACGAACTGCAAAATGCAACCACCTGAGGCAGAGCAGAGTGAACAAAGATGGGCACTTCTAAGAGAGATCTGGGAACTAGCAAATGTCACAGATGACACAGGGAGAGTGTTCCATGAGGACAGGCCATAGCCACAGTTGCACAGGATGCCCAGATGCCCAAACTCAATAAATAAATAAATAAATAAATAACCACACTCTTTCTGGCCTGATCCATAGGACACAGGTCATGCTTTGTGGTTACACAAAGCATGTGAATTAAAGCATTAAACAAAAGGATTGGTAGAGAAGTACAGTGCCTGCCTAGCAAGTGTGAGGCCCTGAGTTCAAACCCCAGTGCTGCCAAAAAAAAAAAAAACCCAGACAGAAAAAAGCGTTAAAAATGACTGTCTTACCTATTGTATTCTCTTACTGAAGGCACAAAGGACCTTTTTGTAAATTTGGTTTAATAAAATAATTTAAAGATTCAGAACTACTAATTTTTAGCTTATGTTTTGTGGTTGATCTTATTATCTATTCTTATTTTCTTTCACTGAGCTTTTAGTGACCTCACTGTGTTAGTTGACCTGAAGAAAGTTGTAAAAGGCAAATACAAGTGTCACTTGGTGAGCTCATTAGCACTAAGCAATTTGAATTTGTGGCCATTTTCAAAGTAAGAATTTTTCCATTAATGCCTGGATTTGGCTCTCCGTTCTGCATGTGCATGATCTGTACTAAGCAGGGGTCTACAGACACAGGTCTACGGATGAACATGTACTCTCAATCTGGCCACCGCCCTTTTCTGTCCTGGCAGAACTACTATCTACTTAACATAAAGTATATACTGAGCCTTGTGTACCCTGCTGTCCCCAGGTTAGAAGTCAAAGTCTGCACTATTTAGCCTCACTCTCTTTTCTAATTTTTTTTTTCTTGTTACATCTTCTACAATAGTCATCCTTTATGGTCACACCATGTCAAATGATTCTGTACCTGTGAAATACAGCACACCTCTCAGCTTCTGTGCTCTTAATCACATACCTCACCTAAGAACCAATCTCTAGGACTGTGATTTTCAGAAGTTCTCTGTGATATTGTTATTTTCAGGCACAATATGAGTAGCATCTGTCACTGGGCACATTATCAGGCCGAGGACCTCGGATTTAAGGAATGGAGGGATCTCATCTCTTCTGATGGCCTCTTACACACACGGCACTATTCTAGATGATTCCATTCAAGACCACAACAACCCTAAGAAGCAATTATCACATGGAATTTACTGGTGCAGCAGGTGAATTTCAGAAAGTTTAATGGCATGGCTAACAGATGGCTGCTCAGGAAATCAAATCCCAAGGGCCTGGTCTTTCCTGAAAGACCTGCTACCTTTAATGGTTATAAAGCCCTTTACATAGTACCTGCCAGACTTAAATATGTAAGCATGTAAATGGACGACTGTTTATTATCAAACTTAGCATTTCAATGCAGCACTGTCAGCAAATGGCAAATCTATACATTACTTCACATTTCATCATGCACCTCTCTCCTGTTCTTTTATGGACCTTACATCCTGTTCTGTTCACATTAAACCTCTTCCACCTACTTTCCATTAGCGTGATGAAAGCAGGTATATATTCCACAGGGAAGAGAGAGGTGGGGAGTTCTCTGAAGAATGCTTTCAACATGACTGCAGCTTCTCTATGGCACATTTTGTCCCATTTAAACTTATCGGCATTGAACTTGGCATCCAGCTCTTCACGGTATTGCTGCAAATCAAAGAAGACAGTCAATATTCAATGACTTTGCACCACCCGATCCCCTTTAGCCCTTCTGGAAACAACCATTACGTAAACCATTTCCACAATATCTACTTTTTTCAACATGATTAGCAGAATTGAAATAAGTATGGTGAATGAATTCTTAAATTAATTTTCTATAAAAATATTTAAAAATTGTTGCTCTTGAAATGGCTAACTCTATGCAAACATAGAGGTCTCTTGAATTACTTGAATTATGGCTTCATTTCTGTGGTTTTGGTAAGATACCACTATTCCCATATGATACACACACTGCTAGGTTTTGACAAGGCCTCCTTGCCTCTTTTCCATAATTATTTGTGTCATCCTCACTTCTATTTCTAAAGTAGACTACGAATGTGCACCTCTCAGCAAGTTCACAGGCAGAATGAGGAACATGCCAGTCAAGTAACTGACTTCACTGCAACACGCAGCCAATGACATCTTCCTGGAGCAGATTCAGCAGAGTTTTATACCGACACACACACATGCCTTCCACATGCCTACAGGCCTGCCCCGTCATTTGCAGGGCTTGGAACACTATGAAAACACTGGAAAAAAAAAAAAAAAGCACCAAGCCTACTTGTCTTACTATTTCTGCATTATTAATTCACCTGATTGTCCACGTCACCCATTTTCTCTACATTTCTTCACCATCAAATTCATTTTCTACTGCTCCTTTAAACTACAAGATTTTCCTATAATACTTTAGGTATTCAAAGAGAATGTTTAGAAAGGGAACTGTGAAAACATTTTTTATTAACAGTCTCTGCTTTGTTCTCTCAAGAGGCCTAACGCTTCTGGTCTCAAACATGCACAGTCAAGGTCAGCTTGTACCTCTGACCTTTTCCTACCAAGATCAACTCATTAACAGGCTAGGGCACAGATGTGCTTATGGGTCCCCAGAGCCTGTAGAATGGAAGTCACTGGCAGGACAAGTTCTTCCAGGGGTACACCTGATCCTGATCCACCCTCCAGCCCTTTCTGATGACATCAAAAGAGATTTTCTTTTCGTCCTGGAATCTAACAGGGATACTACAGCCAGTCACACTATCCCTTGCTGATAAGTACACTTGATAAAGCCTAACAGCACATGAAAAGAGACTACACACCAGACTGGGTGCTGGGAAGTAGAAGATGCATGAGATTCCACTGAGCCTTTGGTCCAGCGGAGGAGACCATTTCATGAACCCATGGTACCGATTCATCAGGGTGCACGTTACAAAGGAGGTCACGTATGCGTGCTGCAGCCAGGAACGATGAAACAAACAGCTGGGGTGGTTTTGAGGGCTGCTGAGAATCTCACAAGGGTCCTGGATAGAGGAACTGCTCCTCAGTGCCACAAATGCACAGAAATCCAGGGTGTCTGGGGGGCCATAGCTAGGTGAGCTTGGTTGGGGCCATGGCTGAGCCTGGGGATCAGGCCAGGAGAGCCACTCTAGGGGACAGACTGCATCCAAATAGAAGCAAATAGAAAGGCCACTTGGAACATGTGTCAGTAAGAGAATGATGGCTAGATTTATCTTTTCTGACAGTCAAATGGAAGAGTGATTTGGGGGGAGCTTGGAGGGGAGGGGGCAGGGAAGAGGCAGAAGCCCTGTGCTGGGGCTGTGACACTTCTGGTGACTGATAGCCTAGGACTCATGGGGTAAGCAGTGGTAGGATATAAGGAGAGAGACACTTCAGAAATACCTAGGAGAAAAACACTCAGACAATGGTGATGGATTAATGAGGACATTTAAAGGTAGAATGATTGCTGAAAATGTTTCTGACTGTAATGGGAAGATGAGGTGTCCTCAACAGGAAAAGGTGAAGGTCACCCACCAGAAGCCTGCTACCCCTGCTGTAAGGCAAAAGAGAAACTGTCTTTCAAGTGGGCAGGAAGCACCAGCAGGAGCAGAAGAAGTCAAATTCCCACACGCCTCTGCCAAAGGGCTCCATCCGAATCACAAATACGACTGGTCTAACCTGCGAGTGGTCCCTGGTCAGCTAAGAGGCAACATGGCCCCAGGGCTGAGAGCAGGAACTATGACTAGATCTTTGAGGCTCTCATCCCATCTCCACAGCTGCCTAATCATATGACCCTTACCTCAAGATTCTCAATGTACAAGAGGGACACTGAAAATGTCAGCCTCCCTGGAGCAGCTCAACCCATCTTGAGCAGAAAGAACAAAGCAGGAGGCATTACAGTACCTGACTTCAATATATTCCCAAACTGCAATAATTAAAGCATGGAGCATGGGCACAAAAGTGAACACGTGGGCCACGGAACAGAACAGAGAGCCTAGAAGTAAACCCATATAGCTAAAGCCACAGGCGCTGCGAAGACACAGTGGAGAGAGAACAGTCTTTCCAGTAGTGATACTGGAGACACTGAACTTCCACATGCCTAAGAATAAAACAGGACCCCTACTTCTCACTATTTGCAAAAATGAATTTGAAATGGTTTAAAGACTGAAAAATTTTAAATTATCATACTATTGTTGAACTCAGGGTACATTGTGACATTTACAAAAGTTCTTATAATATATCATAGTTGAATTCATCCCCTCCACCATTCTGTTTTATTTCCCCTCCTCATGTTTCTGAAATAGTTTCAACAGGTCTTGTTTTTCCATTAAAAAAAAAAAGTAAGACTGAAATGTGAGACCTGAAACTATAAAAATACTAAAATAAAACAGAGGGTAAATACTTCAGGACAGTGGAATAGCAAGGATTCTTTTTGGACAAGACCCCAAAAGCACAGAAAGTAGAAGTGCAAATAAACAAACAGAATCACATCAAATTAGAAAGCTTGTATACAACGATGGAAATAGTCAACAGTGGAGAGATAAGCTGTAGAATGAGAGAAAATGTTTCAAACTATATTTCTGACAAGGAGTTAATGTCCAGAATATGTAAGGAACTCATAAAACTCAATAGCCAAAAAAAAAAAAAAAAAAAACCAAAAACAAACCAGGATTTTAAAATGGGCAATAGACCTAAATAAGACATTTCTCAAAATAAGATGTACAAGTTACCAGCAGGTACATGAAAAAATATTTTAGCATTATGCATCATCAGAGAAATGCAAATCAAAACCACATTGAGTTATCCCTTCATGTTTGTTAGAATGATGGCTATTATGAGAAAGACTAAAAACAAGTGCTGGTGAGGAGGTGGAGAAAAGGGAGTCCTTGAACACGGTTACTGGAAATGTTAATTGGTAGTCTTTGTGGAAAACAGTATGGAGGTCCCTAAAACATTAAGAACAGATCTACCACCTGATCCAAGTCTCACTATGGGGTATAAGTCCAAAGGGAAGGGAATCAGGATGCCAAAGACTCACCTGCACTTCCATGTTTATGCAGCACTGTTTGCAACAGCCAAGAAACAAACAACCCAACTGTTCATCAGCTGATGAATGGATGAAGAAAAGGTGGCACATATACACAATGGGAAACGATCTCGCCATAAAAGGAATGAAATCCTGTCATTTATAACCACATGGATGGAGCTAGGGATCATTATGTTAAGTGAAATAAGCCAGGCACAGAAGGACAAGCACTGCATGATCTCACGCAAATGTGGAATCGAAAAAAGTTGAGAGTAGAATGACTTTCACCAGAGGACAGGGAGAGAAGAAGAAATGGGGAGAGGTTAACCGATGGGCACTAGGTATTAGGTAGGAGTAAGAAACTCGGGGGTGCTATCGCACAGTAGGTGATGCTAGACAATGACAGCAGACTATGCATCTCAAAAAGCTGTAAGAAAGGAGCTTGAATATTTTCATATAAAGAAATGACCAATTTGAGGAGACAGACTGAGGCTCAACCTGGCATAAACAGCATACAGTGCACACACGCATCTAACATCCCACGGCACCCCACATGTTTGTGTAATTTTTAGGTTTTTAAGTACTAGTTAAAAATAAAAATTTTAAAATGACCTCCCTGAGAGTAAATGAGATAACACCACACCAAGCTCACAGAGTAGGGCCTGTCACACAGACAGCACTCAAAAAATGAAGCTGCTTATTCTGCCTCCTCCTCCTCCTCCTAGGCCTGCTCTACCTTCAGTGTCTTTATGGTAGGAGTTCCGTGTGTGTGAGGCGTGACATTGGGTCGTCTTGTCTGAATGGCTGGTATAAAGCAAGATGAAGAGAAAGAATGTCCTCTTTTGGTTTTCCCCAGTGCAGACTGGAGCCTATGAGCAGAGTTGATATGTCTGCAGTGGCTGGAAATGTGAAACCTCAGAAACCAGGTGGGAATTTACCTGGCCAAAGACAGGAAGCACCAAGAGGGTGAAGAAGCCATTTTTGGGTCCTGTCCTTAGGTCCCTTTTTCAGGGCAAATGCAGCCTGCTTCAACCTCAGAGGTGGCTTCACACAAATGCAAGTGAGGAGGAGACAGCACACTCCAGGTAAAGTAATGACAAAGCCCTTGGAGCTCCCACTGAATAATGGAAATGAGTCAAAACAAAAACCTCCTTGCAAAACATGCTGCCTTCCACAGAACACACTCCCAGTGTGGGGCTCACATTTCTGCCATGTTTTGAATAGAAAATTATTGAACACACCAAAGCATTTAATTACTTCCAAATGATCTGCTGCCTCAAATACACAAACTGGTTTCACAGCTGTGTCCCTGTTTAGCTAAAATCTAGTGGCTTCTTCTCTTCACTGCTTCCCTCTTGGTCTTGTCAAGTGTCTAAAGCACAAAGCCAGGCTGGACTGCTCAACAGTGAACCCCTTAATTGTTGGTGACATGTACTTGGCACAAGTTCAAGATAATTATGACAGAGGTTTTTTTTTTTTTTAATGTCTTTCCCTGAGCACATTCCTAGAAAAAGTAGTCCAGTGGATGAAATTACAAATAAAACCAAAACCAACCAATGAAACACCCCCCTCCCCGGCCAGTTTAAGATTTGAATGAAGGAAAGAAATAAAGACCCCTTTACCATATCAAGTCACAATGTCTCTCTGGCTGCAATATTTCCGTTACTGTTCACTGGCCCAGATTTCTTTCACGTTGGCTCCCTGGAGCCTGAACCATGAAACATCTGGATTACATTTTTTGGACTAACAAGCAGTGGAATAAATAGGCTGACACTACATAAAACCGATCAGGGAAAAAGGGACTTTGACCTCAATATGGTTCAGGAATGTATGTGCCTCTACGAACACTCTGAAGGGACAATTAGCCTTTGGTAAGCATTTTTTAGACAAAAGATTAGCTGAAGAAAAGTAGCTTCTGCTACGATGTTAAACTTTGCGCATGTAAGAAATGTCCCATATGTTTTCTCCCATTGATTATTTAGAAAAAAAGGGGTTTTAGATCATATCCATGATGCTTTTCACAAATCCACACATGCATATGCACACACGCACAGGAGCCCTAAGAATATGTGCAGAAGCAGCTTCCCCCTACGAAGGGAGGTTTAGAAGAATGGAGTTCAATTCTAGCTTGGAAATTCATGACTCAATTTTGGGTCTCCGACTCTAATGGTAATCAAAGACAACCAAAAGTGTGATAGTTTTCCCCCTCAGATTGAGGATACATCTATTTGGAAGTGTATCTTAAGAACCAAACAGATGAAAAAATTGAGACACAAAGCAGACTCAATTTAGAAAATACAACCATGACAGAGTCACTGGAAATTGACCTGCCTTCAATTGGGGAAGTTGTGCCAATATTTAGGCAACTCCTTTCTCAGGATTTCTCACAACTCCCAATATGCCCTGACTCCTGATGTCACAGGTAAAGGCCCCAGTGCCCCACTCAGATCTCACTTAGAAAGAGAATGTTCCACACTTATCTGTAAAACGGTTCGGTAGCCGACTGTCCCAGCTGTGAGGCCCCTAGACCTGTTTTACCCCCCTTCTCTGAAGGAAGCCCAGCTTATGGCTAAGGGTGGGGAAGGTACAGGCCTGGCCCTTTCTGCCCAGTGCAGGGCTCCTCGAAATGCCACACCCATCAGCTCCCCTCTGCCTCAGCACCCGCTCTCTGCAGGAGGCAAGAGACACAGCCTTTTTGTTCTCAGTTCCCACTCAAAACCACCTCATCACACTTCTATATAAAAGCCCCAAGACTTCTGATACAAATAGAATCCCCCAAAACATGTACCAAAATGAATTAATGAAGAAAGGCCTTCCTGCTTCTACCTATCTTCTTCTTTGGCAGTACTGGGGTTTGAACTCAGGGCTTCACGCTCTACTGCTTGAACCGCTCTATGGTTGTAACACAACCAAATTCCTCCTCCTTCACCTGAGATATTTTTCTCAAGATATTTGTCATTTAGTGTCCATATCCAGGGGTGATCCAAGGTGATCTTCATTTTTGTGTGCCCACCTGGAGACAAGGTGGAATATTTGACTAGAGATTTATAAGAAAAGATTTTCTTTTTGATGATTCTTTCTTTTCTTGTTCCATAGAGTTTGCTACCACATGGAAGTAAGAAAGCAAAGTGAAAGGATTCCCACTGCTCGGGTGGTGGGGTGGTGTTGTAAGTGGGTGCCAACATTCCCATAAATGGAAGTGGGTTTTAGAATTGCTGAGTGAGTATTCCAGTGGTTAGGGTCATCGCTACAAATTCTTATAAGAACTTCAACTGAAAAGAGAGCCAAAGAATGTTTCTAAGCTGGAAAAAACTGGTAATGGAAATAAGGGCTCATATATTCTTGGCTTAGTGATTTCTGTGACCAACATGAACACAACAAACTGAAGAGGTTAACCCCCGAAAAGCAACTTTCCAAACTAACAACAATGGTTTTTAATAATGAGTTGATGTGTTGTTTCATCAGTGTAGATTTTAAAATTATTGGTGTTGTTTCAATATAAAAGCTTTGGAACAAACATGTAATCATAGATATTAAGAAATATTAGAGTCAAGTGATAGAGTTAAACAATGACGACAACAAAAATAACCACATTCCTGATGCTCATCTGAGCTGGATAGAGTTAGCTTAGGTCTCTAGGAAGCTAGGAAGACAGAAAATATTGGGTACCTTGACTTTGGCAGTACATCCTGAAAGTCGGAAAATTCCTTCGGATTCCAGACCTGATTCTTCAACTTTCTCAAAAAACTAGAAAGCAAAGATGTGTTACAAAAATAAGTACTTCCATATGATTACAATATCTGGGATTAAAATAATGATGAGAATAATCAATAAATTACCAGGCATGTATATGTGAATATACATATACACATTATATAAGCCCAGTCATCCTACATGGTCAACATTTTCCTTAGATTTGCAAAAGAGCAAATTCCCATTTCGAGCTACTCCATGACTTGGATCCACTGTGTACGAGATGGCACTGACTCTTGAGTGTGAGCTTTTAATCACTGTAATATGCTGCCACTCGACCATTTTAATATCTGTTACTGTATCTCTTTCTACAGACTGATTAGTAAGAAAAGATTCTAAATCTATCATTAGTTATAACCACCCTGGCAAAGAACCTGTAGGAATTCTAGAAGTCTGACCTAGGAATTAGAAATTTAAGAACTCTCATGAGGTCTTATGGTGGTGATGATGTAGTGATATAGTAATGAATGTTAATGAGATAAAGCATTTACTGCATGCCAGACCCTATTACTGGTTTTTGCACATATTAACTCACTTAATGCTAACAATAATTTTACACTATAATTATCCCCATTCTACTGCTGAGGAAACGGAGGCATAGAAAGGATAAATGATCTGTCACCTCTGCTATGGTACCTGGAACTGACGTCGTTCTTTCAAGCATGGACAGAAATGTTCAGGAAGAAGAAAGACACTCCCATAGGAGTAGAAGTGTGCTACCTCAAATTGTCCTAAGTGAGGAACCCTTAGTGTCAGTAGTAATAATACTTAACATTTACTGAGTTACTAATGTGATATAAATTTGCATTTAATTTGGCATTCATTGACCACCTTCTCTCTCTCTTTTTTTTTTTCCCTTTTTTGCAGTACTGGGGCTTGAACTCAGGGCCTTCACCTTGAACCACTCCACAAGCCCTATTTTTGTGAAGGGTTTTTCGAGATAGGGTCTTGTGAACTATTTGCCCAGGGTGGCTTCAAACCACAATCCTCCTGGTCTCTGCTTCCTGAGTAGCCAGGATTATAGGCGTGAGCCACTGGTGCCTGGCTTGACCACCTCTGTTTGATTTCATTTGCTAAGTTCTGTACCAGGTTTTTGTGCCTATATAATATTATAATCCCATGTGTTGAATCTTCTGTCTTAGACTTTTATGGATTGTCTTCAAACTCTGTCCTTTGCAGAGAGGACAAAGGGCCTAATTTTGGCTCTACCAAGAGTCATCACAGACTTTGGACTTGGACACGCGCTCTGTTCCTTTACCCGCTCTCGTCCATGCTAGCAGTGTTGTGTTGGGTGGGTTATCTCACCTTCCTCAGCTGCCTCATCAGTAGGAGGGGAATGGCAACCCCAGCCTCCTTGTAACTCCATGTGGGCCACATGGGACATCACATGGACAGCACTGACATATCCCTGCCTGGGGGAAGTGACCCTTGAAAGGTCCCTGTGCGTGGAGGCTAGCTTGTTGCCACCCTCCCTGCTCCTATCACCAGCCAATAGTCACTGGATTTGAGGGAGTAGCTCTATTTGAGGAATTAGTAGCAAAACATAGGAAAACAGAAGAGGGATGTAGAATTGGTAGTGTAGTAAAGTAAGTATACATTTTTCTTTTCCCACATTTTTTATAATTGTGTAGCAGTTATGCTGTTTCGGGAGGTTGTTATGGTAGTTCCATGGATGAATATGGTATGATCACATTCACTCCCTTGTCGATATGTTTGTTCAGTCAATATTTTTATGTATCACTTAAAAACCCAAGGTTTATGTTAAGGGATAGAATTCTAATTGTGCCACTGGGTGTCACTATTGAGTAAGTGCTGCCTATAAAAAAACCTTAAAAGTAACTCATATATTTAGCAATGATAGTCACAAGAGTCGCAGATGATAGTTGAGATAGAATCATTAAAAAAAAGTTTCCTTTCACCAAAATTCTCTTTGTCTAACTGTATCCAATCTGCCTATTCCCAGAAAAAGAACCAGAATAAGCTGAGTTTTAGACTTTATGAAAATTCATTAAATGATTATACATACACATTTTTAAATACAGCTTATGATGTATCTCGGCAAATATTTTTACGGTCTGAAAATACAGTTAGTAATTAATGGTTATCTTTCTCCAGACAGAATAACCAAATATACACAAACATATACATATGCACAATGTTTGAAAAAGTATTCGGATAAATGTAACTGAAGGAAGCCATGGAGACAGAGCATGTGTGTCCATGCCTGGTGTGGACATGATGTGTTCTCCAAAGGCTCATGAACTGGAAGCTTGGTTCTCAGTGTGGCGGAGCTGAGATGGTGCCCCCTAGTGGGAGGTCGTTACTGGACTTTCCCTTCTCTCTGGCTTTCTGTCTGGTGATGTGATCTCTCTCACACATGCCCCCAGCACTGTGGCGTCCTCCATCGTGAGGTGATGCAGCCAAGGAGCTTTCACCAGAATGGCACTAGTATGCTGTAGGGACTTTCAACCTCCAAAGTATCCAGCCTTGGGTGTTTTGTTACAGTAATGAAAAAGGGACTAATACAAAAGTCAAATGGTCTAAGCACTGTAGCCATTTCAAGGATTCATGGAACAAAGCTGAGGATCACCTAGGACTTGATTGCTAAGAGTTTCAGTGTCTTTGAATCTAAAAGAAAACTCATTCATGGTTCAGAAAGTACCAAATCATAAGCAGAGGCTCTCTGAGTTGCTCATTCATTCACATTCTACTCACTTTTTGTAATACTAGGGGGACTTTCACTCCAGGATCTTTCTTTCGGTCATTTTCCAGGAGGACTGTAAGTGGCACTCCAAAAATCCCATTGTCTTCAGATGAGAAAGAGAGAGAGAGAAAGAGAGAGAGAGAAAGAGAGAAAAGAAATCAGAAAAGCATGCCCTTATCCCAGTGTCAATGTCACACCCAGAAGCAGTAGTTTTCTTCTTACCTCGTCCTTTCACTTTCTCAGTTTTGTTCCTTTTGAGCTGAATTCCAAAGGCATCGAAGAAGGCTGTCAATTCAATCAGAGAAAGATGGCGGACCTTCTTCAGATCTTCAGCAGACAGGTCTCTCGCTTCAGTTAACCCCAATCTGGTTTTCTGAACAAAAAAATTCTAAAATATAAAGTGAAGATAGTTACTTTTTAAGGCAAAGGAAAATTATAACACCTTCATTCAGATGCCACCTTGGACATTCAAAATCTGTACAGCAAAGCATGATATTTGGGAAAAGTCTGTGAGGAGCATCTGGGCATGCCTTGCAAGACATTTGCAGACCACGACAACACTTCTTTGCAACAAAATAGAGGGCTGAGGATATGATTCGTTGCCAGCCCAGTCGTGGGAACTGCCTTCTCACAAGGAGCACCTGTGCTGTCAGGCAACCTCTACACAAAGCATCAAATGGAAAGTACGTACCAATGGGCTTTTAATCTGGATTACACACAGCACGTGCATACAAGGGTACTCCTAGCTACCTCCCAGGAGAACTTTGAACAGTTTTTTGGGGGTAGGGAAGGCAGTGAATGTCCTTCAATCAGGCTTCATATATTCCATTCTGCATACTTTAAAAGACACTTAGTACTCTCCCAAGCAAAGCTGATTATACATGATTGCTGAGAAAAGTTATTCTACCTTAAAAATCAAATTTAGGTCTGGGTTCAGAGGTTCATGCCTATAATCTCAGCTACTTCGGAGGCAGATAGGAGGATCACAGTTCAAGACCAGGCTGGGAAGACAGCAAGATGTTATCTCAAAGAATAAGCTGAGCATGGTGGTGTGTGCCCATAGTAGCAGATATGCAAGAGGTGTAGGTAGGAGGACTGTGGTCCAAGGTGGCTCCAGACAAAAAAAGTAAGAAGAAGAAAAAAGTGGCTAGGGTGTGGTTCAAGTGGTAGAGCCCATGCCAAGGAAGATCAAGGCCCTGAGTTAACACCCTAGTACTGCCTCCCCCACCCCTACAATCAAATGTAGATATTCTAAACTCTTACAAAAAGCTAAATGCCTCAGACCATAATCCCCCTACTTACGGCCTCCTCCCATACAGCCAGGATCACAGACTAGTGCCATCATGCCTGCTTATTGATTCAAATAGGGTCTTACTGGCTTTTTGCCTGGGCTGGCCTTAATCCTAGGGTCCTCTGGATCTCTGCCTCCCAAACAGCTAGGATTACAGGAATGAGCCACCATGCCTGGCCATTGGTAATAATATAAATTCTGCCATTGGATTTGCTGAGTTTAGTGTTTGTCCTTTGAGCTGTCAATTCTTGTTTTATGACATGACTTTCAGTCCCTTGTGATATGTAATGTACAGAGATATAAGTACTTATAGGTAGGGGCTGCATTGACTTATAAGTGAAATATGGCTTTGAAGTGCAAGAAAACTCACAAGCCAAGTGACAACCCCATTTCATCTGTGATATCTGTGACTTCAATGTCCTCCGAAAGTCATCAAAGACTTACATGTGTTAAAGACTTGGTCACAACTCTGTGCCATTATTAGGAGATGTGTAACCTTTAAGAGGTGGGGCCTAGTGGAAGGAAGTTAGGTCATTGGGGGTGTTCCCTTGAAGGAACATAGAGACCCTGGACCCTTCCTGTGTCTCCCTTTATTTCCTGGCCACCATGAGGCAATCAGCTTGCTCCATCATGTGCTCCTTCCATAGAGTGCTGCCTCACTACAGACACAAAAGGAGTAGACCGACTGACCAAAACTGTGAGCCAAAATACATCTTTCCTCATTTAAATGGAGTTACCTTGGGTGTCTGTCAGGATGCCAGCAAGTTCACTACTACAGTCTGTAAAACAGCATTTAAGTATTCACGTTCACGACTTTTCCTCAACCCAGGGCTGCTACGTACAGCCAGGCAGGCTATGCACACAACAACAAATGGTGCCCCAACTGGTGGAGCACCCCAAGTAATGGCTGGCCTCTCCAACCCCCTTGTACAGATACAGAGATTGACCTTGTTCTGACCCCAGGAGAAGTCACAGGAAGTTATAGATTGATCATGAAAGGTTTTACTTACAGTTAAAGCATAGTCTTCTTTCTTAATCTCTGACTTCTTAAATTTATTTCTTTTTGGAGCCTCTGTAATCAATTCTGAATAAGATACTTCAAAAGACAACTCTTCAGCCTCTGCTGGAATGTTCTTTTCTAGATCATCATCATCTAAAACTACAAGACATATCGATCATTTCATATGTCATTTAATCAATCAATAGTATTTACTGTGAAACAAACACTGAATCTTACCAGGATACCTATAAACATCAGATTCCCCCAGAGTTCAGTTAGGCAAGGATGTGGTACCATAGATTCCACATGAACACAGTTCTATCATTACCCAAACTTCCTATTTAATCTGATGTTTAAAATTTTATCTTTTTAGGTGTCATGAAATTTGCTGAGAATTATTTATCAAAAAAGGCATGGTTTTTGTAAATACTCTTATGATATCAAAATTAAACCCATTTAGAACCCAATGCTACTTATAAGAAAATCAGAAGCTTGAAGTAGAAGAAAGGGGGAGATTTCTGCCTTGGTTCCACTCCACTTTTACTCCTCTTTTTTGTTTTTTTTCTAAACTGTGGAATATTTGCCTCTTAAGATTTGTTTACATTCAATTTGGTCTTCATGGCTAGATTGGGCAGGTGAATTAACCTGAATTTCTGTAATTAAATCTTGGCTCCCTCACCTTGTGTGACACACATTAAGGAAAAGGTGACTGGGTAACAAGGGATCCCCATAGCAGTGCATTTCTCAAGCTTTGCTACTTGGAGAATCGACAAAGGATTCCTTGATCAAACCCCAGGGAATCATAAATCATTTGTGCAATCCTGTTCTGTAATTTCTGGCTGATTTGGGCTTGTCATCTTGTTTCATCACTTGGTGAAACTGTTCATAAGCAAAGTAAAGAATTGTTTGATTACAAAAAGAACTCTTGATTCTCTTTTGCCCTCTTTTATAAACCCTAACTATAAGACAACCAAATAGAACAAAAGGAACAACTGATAGAAGTCCTAATTAATTGCACATTAAAAGTTGGGTAGAGAAATTTAAGCAAAGAGACTGACAAATTCTAAATAAGAACACTACTTGAAATCACAAGTGGATGCATCATTTAGAAATGAAGCAGTTTAGAAAATGGCAAAGGGTGAGTTGTGATTGTTCACTTGTCATACAGAAGCATGTACTCAAAAGGGAGAATGAAAAATTGTTAAAACAGTATTCTAACACCTTAAGAGAATCTATGGACAGATTCTTTAGAGAACAGCAACTAAACAGGCCAATTTTTCAAACCACTGGACCATGGCACGTAACTTCTGTCTTTAACGGCATGATTTGGACTAGACTGATTAGGAATCATTTGTGGCAAGTCCCTTGGCTTTGACTGTATTTGTTTGGTATCAGCTTTATGGATTATGTCATGTGATTCCTCCGTGACAGTATACAAGTCAAAGCTTTTTAGTTCCATAATGGATTTTAGAGCATTTTCATCAACTCAACTCCTTTCATTTGAGGTGTGACTACTGAAGGCATGGACTTAATCTTTACGAGGAGTGCATGCATTTCAGAAAAACTTGGAAGAACTACAAAAACCTGGCCTGCAGGGGCCTGTTTTCTGTAAGGAGGATTTGAGATTCCTTTCTGACTCCATTCTAGGAGCAGGAGGTCTCAAGAGGAAGTGGCCCAGATAAAAGCAATTCCCACATCCTGTCTGTCCCAAGCCATTCTGGCACAGCATGTACTGCAGGAATAATTCAGGAACTGGATGGGGCCACTGCTCAAGTGAGTAGCTCCTATATGATGTGGTGGGAGAAAAGGAAGAAAAGACTCTGCTTCCCATTTGGCTGAATTAATTTTGCCTGGTGAGACAGAAGATGGTATTTGTAGGTGAATGGGAAGAGAGTACCAGAAGTCAAAGAATGATAATGAGGAGAAATACACACTTACATTTTGGTTTTAGAAATTCACTCCTAGGAGAAGGGGCAGGGAGAAGTTGATGGATGGGTACTAAGTCACAGAGAGAAGCAAGAAGTTCTAGAGTGCTGTTACACAGTAGTGAGACTACAGATAAGGATTAATGTACTGTGCACTTCAAAAAGCTAGAAGAAAGGAATTTGAAAGTTTTCACCGCAAGGAAATGATAAATGTTTAGGAGATATCTGTGTTTAATCTGATGTAAACATTACACAATGTATGCATGTATTGAAATATCACATGATACCACATTGATACATATAATTTATGTTTTATATATCAGCTTAAAAAATATTAAAAATAAACAATAGGAAAGAAAAAGAAACTCTCTGTTAACTGTACTGAGTGCCAGAGCCAATGTGAGAAGACACAGCTCAAGTTCACTGGGGCGGGGGCGGGGAGGGGGCGGCACATGTCACTCACCACTCAATACGTCCTGAACTGACTGCCCAGGCTCTGCAGATCCGTTGGAATGAACTGGGATGTTGGGAATAGCATCGAGTGTAGACTGCCAACCAAGAAAGATGAACACAGACATTTACCACAAAGGCAACCTGCCCCTCAATGCAATCCTGCATGTTCCATAGGAAACAAGAATTCTATTCACACACACAAAACCTTGATGTCATCAATGGCCTGCCCAGATTTTACCTCCACCTTCAGTTTAAGGTGTAGAGCTCACCAAGGCTACTTAAAAGGGGATCAGGTAGAGGTCGATATAACTCCACCTTCTTAGCTCTCTGAAATATTTGCTACTTATACTTTTGCTAAGATGTATAAATTACCATGCTTGATGTCATATGAGTTAGCAGTGACAATAGCATTTGTTAATCTTGATATATTTTGTCCTAATACTAATTATACTGATAGTAACATATCAATTCTCTCATGGAAGAATATAGACAGTAAGTAACAAAAAATTAAGTATCTCTTCTAATTCTGTTTTCCTTATTAATTTGATACTTTCTTCAGGAAGCCCTGCCCAAGCATTGGATTCTCCTGTAGTACTATCAGAAGTTGAGTATCTCTTTGCAAGTGTACAAGTGCCCAGTGAGTTACTGTTTATGTCTGGAAGGGTACTAGTGAAAAATCTGCACAGAAATCCTACTAAAAATTTTACTTTTTTTTTTTTTGAGACAAGGTCTTGGTATTGGGGCTCAGGCTGGCTTAGATCTAATGATTTCCTGTTTTAGTCTCCTAAGTGCTAAGACTCCAGGGATACACCACCACACCAGGCTGCAAATCCTATAAATTTTAATGTGGGAGTTATTAGCTGTGAATATGTGACTGTGAAAATCTGCTATTCTATCAAGAATCTTTTATATACTATTCACACATAAAATCTATTCTTACCCCGAAGAGCATGATGGTGTTTCTTTTATTCTCATATTTATTTAGCAGTAACTGAACACCTGTTTCACAAAAGATCCTTTACCAGGTGCTACAGATTGCACAAGGCAATCTCAAATTCTGAGCCTTGTGTTCCCCTTTTGTCCCCATTTTATTTCAAAGGAGATGATAGACTTTTAACTGTGTAAACACAATGCAAATAGATGGCCAATTATTAAAACACAGATGCTCATATACTGTAATTGCTAGAAGAAAAGATAGAAAAAGGCCTAGGACAATATAGTTGATTATCAGTCATATTTTTGGTGACTCTATAATCTAATACTACAGAATAAAGAATATCCATTGCTATAGTTTGGATCTGGAATGTCCCCAAAAGGGCCATATGTTGGTCTTCAACCTATATGACCAGGAAGTGGTAGAACCATTAAAGGGTGGGGCCTAATGGGGTATCTTAGGCCACTGATAGTGTGCCCACTCCATAAAGGGAGTATTGGTTCCTGGCCCCTCCTCTTTCTTCTCTTTGCTTCTAGTCCCTGTGAGGTGACTGGTTTGCTCTACTGTTGAACTCCTGCCATGATATGTTGCCTCACCATGAACCCAAAAGCAACACACTGACCTGAAGTTCTAAACCAAAACCTCCAAAACTGTGGGTCAAGATTAACCTCTCCTCTTTATCAGTTGACCTCTTCAGGATTTTGCTATAGTAGTGTAAAGCTGACATAAATATATATGTCATATATATGTATGTCATATATACATATATACACATATATATATATGTATATCTTAAAATCCTTAAAAAGGTGTGGACAACTTTTCAGTGGTTACCTGAAGTTTTCCAACCAAGAAATGCTTTGTCAGACTTTGAAATAACTTCCCTATGGGAAAGAAGACTTCTTTTGAATTGAGAGTCAAAATTGATTTAGAACTTCAAGTTGAAGATTTGAGCTACTTAAACCTACTAATGTTAATTTCTTCATTGGCAAAGTGGGAAAGGGTCCATTTGCTCAGCCGGTTTCACTGGCCTCTAGCCAGCCTGTTGTACTGAAGGAGTCTCTGTTCTTTGTGATATAAATTACTGTGGGACAGAAGTTTCAGCCATAATCCCTGTTCTTGAGCTACTTACAATGAGGAAACAGAGTAACTTATGGAATGTTATTAAAAGACAAGCAATCCAGTGTTAAGAGCTTATTTCTATAATAGGAACTGTGTGTGCTATTAGAAAATGGTAGAAGAGGGAAGAGGAGTCCCAGGGGTTTCTCTGGATGAAGTGAACTTGAGTTGGAACTCAAGAACAATGTAGGAAAAAGAATTACAAAGGCAGAGGAGACAGGTAAAAGCATTTGGGCCAGAGATGGAGGTAGGAATTTCAGGTGTGGGGATAACTGAGACTTTTCAGCACGAAAGATCATGGAAAGATGGATGTTCCAAAAATTGAGTCATGACATTAGGAAAACACAAGAAATTTATTAATACAGAGGGTCAGCTCATATTATAGAAGGGGTTGAAAGACAGAGATGCTGAGACTTGGAAACACAGTGTTAAAAACAAAACAAAGGCACACTCTCTAGTTAAAGCAGGAGAATCACATGGAGAATGAAGAAGGAAGACCAGGCCCACCCACAAATAGTCCTTGAGCTCTGAAGCAGGTTGAGTGGACATATATACAGTTATCCCTTGGTATGCATAAAGGACTGGTTTCTGTGGACACAAAAACCCATGGATTCTCAAATCCCTTCTATAAAATGGTGTAATATTTGTATAGAAACTACACATAACTTCCTGTCTGCCTTAAATCATCTGTAGATTACTTATAATACCTAATTCAAAGTAAGCCCTACATAAATACCTGTTGTACTGTATTGCTTAGGGAATAGTGATGAAGAAAAATGCCTGTGTATGTTCAGTACAGATGCAATTTAAGGAAGATTTTCTGTCTACACTTGGTGAATGTACAGTACTCATTTGACTAGATCCTAGATGATCATTTGATATACTTCAACCTGCATTCCACATTAAAGAAATGATAAGGCTTAGAATCCTAGAACAAAGATTCTACTTTATGATGAAAGATTAGAAGAAAAGTCCTAATGAGATCTTTTAAAGGAGTAGGCATAGTCTTTTTAAGAGTTCATCTGGAAGAAAACATTTCTATGAAGAGGAAAAGAAAATTTTGATGCAGATTTTGATGACAGCAAACTTATCCTAGTCAATTTCAAATCAAACCATAGAGACAGACCCCTGTGGGGGGTGGGGAGGGTTGTTTATAAGGTGTTCATTTCACACATACAGAAAAGTTTAAAGGTTGAAAAAAAGGTACTGGTCAGGTCAAGGCTATCCTTTCAGAAAAGACAAAGTTAGGTTACTTCTGTTGTCTTATTCCACCACACAACAGTAGCACAAGCTTCTGAACCCTCTGAGGTCAGATGACCAAGTCTTGGAGGCATGGCCCCCTGAAACTGTGGCAGTTTCTAAGCCTTGTAACTATTGTCAATGTGGCCCAGGGAATTCATCTTGGCAGGACAGTTTACTCTTACAGGTGTCATGGCCAAGAACCCTGAAGTCCTAACACACTTCACTGAATTACTACTGCAAATCCTACAACCTCACAGAGACTGGGAGCCAAATGGGGTGCTGGTAGTTCCTTGTAACCAAGAACCCAAGACTCAGAAAATGTAGTTTCTTCATGGTAAGAAGTTCTAGAGCACTTTCAGTACAAGTCTAGTCAGCACCTGTGGGTTACTCTAGCAACTTACCATTTTAACATTTGTAAGTACAGATACTCTGATTAACAAACAACCCAAAGTAAGTCAAGTTGGAGATTGGTGCCAATGAGATTTCTTTTAGAACCAATACTGCTTTATTGATGTCATTACTGACATCCAAGTTGTTTTCAGGAAAACAAAAATGAAATTTCGCAGGTAAGTAGTCCTACCTGCAACTATCTATGACTGCCACATGAGATCATTTTCTTTTGCTTACACCCTCAAACAATCAAGAATCCTCTTTGTAGACAGTATGTACTCAGTAAGGATTTGCTGAATGAGTGACTGGATGAGTCAGTGATGTGGGAAAGTATTATCAGCAAAGAATGAAGAAATAAAAACCTAAGTAGCATCATTCTGATCATAAACAAAATTGTGGTCATGGAACACCATGGAAAGATCTGAAAAACAAGGCATGCCTTCTGTCCTCTTCTTTGACAAGTGAATTATCCAACTCTCTTATGTTAAATTCTGCTTTGTGTGTTCTCTATTGTTGGCTTGTACAAGATACTGGAATTGTTAAAGGCAGCTAGATGCACTATGTCAGGAGCATGTTGGAGCCCCACTGGAGCTGTAAACAATACTTGTATTTTTAAATTAAATAATTCATTTGAGGTACTGGGGCTTGAACTCAGGGCCTTCACCTTGAGCCACTCCAGCAGCCCAATTTTTTGTGATAGGGTTTTTTCAAGATAAGGTCTCAAGAACCATTTGCCCTGGCTGGCTTTGAACTGTGATCCTCCTGATCTCTGCCTCCTGAGTAGCTAGGATTACAGGTATGAGCTACCAGTACCTAGCAATACTTGTATTTTAGTGGGTGACTTGTAGCTGTGGACGGATGGCTTGGAGCAAACATCCAGGATCTCAGTTAGGTGACTATTTCAGTAATACAGAAAGATGATGATGAGTTTCTGTACTAAATAAGTGGTTGACAGTAGCAGAAACAGCCGACAACCATTTCCATGATAAAACCTGTGGGTCCCAGAGGTGGGTATGAAGAGACAAGATGGTAGGCAGAGCTGACGTTGACACATAGGGATGATTCTTGGGCAAATGGTGCCACCAGCTGAGGCAGAAAATAAAGGATCCCCAGCAAGGGTATAGAGCGGGAGTTCCCATCACCTAGGAATAGCACAATGGTGGAAGCTCTAATGCAGATAACTCCATATTCCAATAGTTACCAAAGTTCATTAATAAATAGGGTGAATTGGAGATAATCTTAAATTAGAGACATTCTCTCTCATTGTCATTCCAGTGCATGGTATTAAATGGGAAAATAAGACTTGACCAAAAAACACATGAGAAAATGCTCACCATCTCTAGCAATAAAGGAAATGCAAATTAAAACCACACTAAGATTCCACCTCACCCTTGTTAGAATAGCCATCATTAGCAACACCATCAACAACAGGTGTTGGCGAGGATGCGGGGAAAAAGGAACCCTCTTACACTGCTGGTGGGAATGTAAACTAGTACAACCACTCTGGAAAAAAATTTGGAGGCTACTTAAAAAGCTAAACATTGACCTACCATATAATCCAGCAATACCACTCTTGGGGATATACCCAAAAGAATGTGACACAGGTTACTACAGAGGCACCTGCACACCCATGTTTATTGAAGCACTATTCACAGTAGCCAAGTTATGGAAACAGCCAAGATACCCCACTACTGACGAATGGATTAAGAAAATGTGGTATCTATACACAATGGAATTTTATGCAGCCATGAAGAATGAAATGTTATCATTTGCTCGTAAATGGATGGAATTGGAGAACATCATTCTGAGTGAGGTTAGCCTGGCCCAAAAGACCAAAAATTGTATGTTCTTCCTCATATGCGGACATTAGATCAAGGGCAAACACAACAAGGGAATTGGACTTTGATCACATGATAAAGTGAGAGCATACAAGGGAGATATGAGGACAGGTAAGACACCTAAAAAACAAGATAGCATTTGTTGCCCTCAACAAAGAGAAATTAAAACAGATACTTTAAAGCAACTGAGGCCAATAGGAGAAGTGGACCAGGAGCTAGAGAAAAGATTAAATCAAGAAGAATTAACCTAGAAGGTAACACACATGCACAGGAAATCAATGCAAGTCAACTCCCTGTATAGCTATCCTTATCTCAACTAGCAAAAACCCTTGGTCCTTCCTATTATTGCTTATATTCTCTCTTCAACAAAATTAGAGATAAGGGCAAAATAGTTTCTGCCAGGTAGTGGGGGTGGGTGGGGGGGAGAGGAAGGGATGGGGGATAAGGGAGGAGGTGGGGAAGGGGGAGAAATGACCCAAACATTGTATGCACATATGAATTTAAAAAAAAAGAAAAGAAGAGTTGATTTCACAGCCAGGGGTTCAGACATGATGTGCACCCCTCAGCCTATCTCTGCCATAACCTACAGAATTATACGTAAGTTATTCATTGGTAAGAGTCCTTTGAATTTTTTTCTTCTCATATGATCACTGTGTAACAAAAGCACAACACAACAAAACAAACAAAACTTCATAATCAAAAAATTTAAAAACACAACAGAAAAGCTAATATATATGAGGGCAAAAGCATTACCTCCCTGAACAACGGTGACATCTTAGGATGTATTGTGCATGCAAATGTCAGCTATTCTGCTTCTCAAAACTGGCAGTGATTGAGGAAGTACTACCCCTGAGGTACACTAGACTGTGCCTTCTCTCTGTGAGCACATGGCCTTCCATTAATTTCCAACAAAGAGTCTCCAAGTCAGCTAATGGGGTCTCTCACTATCTTCTGGGGGAGGTCTGTCATATCAACCTCTTGTCAGAGCATCAGCTCAGAGACACTGAGTGTGACTGTAGTGAGGGATGTTGGGGGAATGTCAAGAATTTTTGATGAACAAAAGTACACATTCTGTTTCTGGAGGTCAAGTGAGAGAATTTACCCAAAGAAAGAGTCTACATGGGTGAGTCCCAAAAAGTAAGGCTGGAATGGTAGAGAGCCTTTAATACCAGGAAGAAGCTTTCTAATTTACCCTGTGGTTAAAAGGACTTCTGCATAAGAGATGAGGTTAAGCCAGGCTATCAAGCCTCTGGTATTTTTCTGTGAGAACTCTGCAAAGAAGGTCAACGTCAACAAATTCTTTCACACTTGACACATGCAAACAACACCCTTTGATTTCTGGCCACAGTGGTATGAGCTCATTGGGTCCCCTTTCAAACCTAGATGTTCATTCCTAAGTTTTGAGTCTCCTTAATTCTTACAAGCTTGGTGGGTCTGCCAGCAGCTGTGGTTTCTTTGCAGTCCGAGTTCAAGTGTGGTGTCTTAATTTGTCTTGAAGAAATTGTTTCTTACCTTCCTACATTGGATGTCTCAACTTGCAATTTTGCCTTGACCTGCAATTATGCTGACATGCAGTGACTTACCATGGAGCCTCTGCTGGGATCTAGAAAAGACCTCTCTTCATCCTGGGTCCTGTCACACAGGGTAGTATCATTGAGAGAAGCATCATGGGGCTAAATGGAGAAATAAAAGAACCATTCTCATTCCAGCAAACATTTTCCAAAATGTTTGTGCATTCCAGTATGTGTGCATACTGAGAGGTATGGGCACAAAGGAAGTTATGGCTGCCTGAGCCTGGACAACTGCACCTAGCCTATCGTGACACTGCTGTGAGCCACCTAAGTGCTCACAGTGACAGACAATGATAGCAGCAGTATCTGTGCAAACTACTTGCCTTTACACAATCTTGGGCAAGTTCCAGGGAGTTAGGTGTTATGTCAAAACCCATGACTTCCAGGTTCCCTTGCAGCTAAGAGGGATCCTGTGACCAGTGTGGCCAATAAGGCACAAATGTCATCTTACCAAGGGTGCTTCTGGGAACACTAGGCTTTCCTGACCCAAAAGATCAGCCTCGGCCACATGCTCGTGACAGGACCACAGATGACAGCCTGGAACTTCCAGGCATCTTGTACCAGAAAGGATGATGGAGACAAAGGGTGGCAGGGACCAAAGACCAAATCTGGCTGTGTCCATGCTAAGATGGTGTCATGTGGCCGCCTAGTCAGACCTGGACTGTGTATGTTGAATGTTCCACGTGAAGCAAAATCACCACTGTTTTTTTTGTTTTGTTTTGTTTTTAATTTCAGGAAGCCAAATGCAAACTTGACTTATCTAATCTTCTCCATTATTTCAGTAAATTCTATGACTGTTTTTGGTAGTGCACAGAATTTAGTTAAATGACTACAGCTAAAAGGATTTTTTTTGTAGTGCACAATGACGCTACTGAAATTAAGACACAAATATTATTTTCTTTTACCTGGGGAATCGTATTGCTAATGAAAATATTTCGTCTTTTAAAAAAACTGTCATATTTCATTTCACTTGATGATATTGTCTCAGTTTTCTATAGATTTCTTTATAAAATGAACAAAGAACTTTTTTTTTGTGGCAACACTGGGTTTGAACTCAGAACCTCACAGTGGCTAAGCAGGCACTCTTACCAGTTGCACCACTCCACCAGCAACAAAGAGCTTCTTAAAGAAACAAATAAAAACCCAAGAACTAATACGAGAAATTTAAATCAATATGGCAAACTAACAATCCCCTCCCACCCCAAACTACTACAAATGGCAGAAACATGCACATATTTTGTGTATGTGTGGTGTTTGGTTTTGAACTCAAGCACTTACAGTTGCTAAGCTGTGATTTACCACACCTCCACACTCTAGTCACACCTCTAGTCCCTTCTGTTTCAGTTATTTTTTTGGATCAGTCTCATGTTTTGGTCCAGGCTGGCCTCAGAGTGCAATCCTCCAATGGCTTCCAGAGTAGCTGGGATTGCAGATGTGTAACACCAGGTCCAACTTTTGAGATGGGGGTTCTTGTTAACTGTTTGCCTGGGCTGGCCTCAAACCACAATACTCCAAATCTCTGCCTTCTGAGTTGCTGGGATTACAGATGTGTGTCAATACACCGTGTCTAAAAACATACATAGTTTTTACAGGAATAGATTTTTAACAACACTAGAAATCAGCAAAGAATTCCATAGCAGACCAACTGACAGCAACTTGTAGATGAAGTACCTGTACTAAAAAGCAGCATAAAATAAAATTCCTAGGGAATGAAGAGAAACACAAGCTAATGATAAAGAATAAGCAAAGAGTAGGAAATGGATACAGGCAATTACTTAAGCAATGTTTGCCAAGATGGAAGCCAGTAAACCTCCCTCTCATAAATATGTAGATAGCCCTTAAATATAATCCCAGGGAAAATGCTGAAAACGCAGTGTAATAAAAAGGACAGAGTGCTTTTGGGTGGATGGGCTACTGGCACCAGGAAAGGGGCGCAGGGACAGGGGACTCCAGAGGTCACAATGAAAGGGGGAACAGAAGAGGCAGTGAGCTTTGCCTGTAAGTACGCAGTTCCAGTTCTTCATCTCTCGTGGGTTTTGCATTTGGGATGTGTGTTCACCTCCCCCTGCACACACCTTAAAGTGAATGCAACCTACTCACTTGCATGAACATACAAACAACTCTGGCCTTCCAGAAAACGAAATCTGCCCAATTGTGGGGAACTCACACCATGTTCCTACATCGATCCCTTGAAAATCATCAGGCTCCGCACTGCAGAAAAGGTTAGGACCTGGGAAACTGCGGGTCTGCTGCATTTCCTTGGGCACAGTCTTTGCATGGACCCACCATGCTCCTCTGCGACCTGTTACAGTCAGACAGGGGCTAGGGTGGCCTGGGGGGCGTGGCAAGAAGAACCTCAAGATGCAGTGTTGGCTAGAGCGCTCCCCACTGGAGGCACAGTCTAAGGACCTTAGCTGCCACTGTGAGGAAACACTCGTGTTTGCATCACTAATTACTCCCCAAAGTTAACATGTTCTCCATATGAAATGTTTACACATGGAAAGTCACCAGAGAACACTAAATACTTATATTTTATTTGATACTGAAAAATATTTACTTGGCAGTCAGTTATTTTTCCGTGCAAGCTCACCCACAGAAACCAACCTTTGGTTGACAACATCCGGCATAAAAACTATTCCTAGTCTGGCACAGTGGCTCATTCCTCTAATCCCAGATACTCAGGAGGAAGAGACTGGGAAGATCATGCTTTGAGGCCAGCCCGGACAAAAAGTTAGCAAGAGCTCATCTCAACAAATAAGCCAGGTGTGGCGGTATGTGCCTGTCGTGCCAGCTACATGTGAGATCAAGGCAGGAGGCTCAAAGTCCAAGGGTGGCCCCAGACAAAAACACAAGACCCTATCTGAAAAATAACTAAAGCAAAAAAGGGCTAGGGGGTGACTGAGCACCTGCTGAGCATGTGCAGGGCCCTGAGTTCAAGCCCCAGTACTGGCAAAAGAAAAATTCTTGTTATTTCTGCCTGTACTTGTTTTTAAGACAGAATTTATTAATTTCACATTAACCTATGAAATTATTCCTTGCTGAGTTGAAGAGCAATGGGTGATGAGGTTGTGTGGGGTTGGTGTTCTCAAAATTCTGAATTATGTGGCCTCTTTACTCAGGAGAAATAAGTTTATACCATGTGATGTCCACAGCAGCATTGTTTCCAAAAGCCCCAAACAGGAAGCAATCCAAATGACCACCATTAGATTGCACAGTGATACATTTGTACAATGTAACAGTGTCAGTTATAATAGGACTATGGGCAACAAATAGGTGCATATTAAAATCACGACTGAGTAAAAGCCAAAGAACATCATGCAATTCCACTTGCATGAAAGTGGAAGGATAAAGTCACCTATGGCTTTAGAAATCAGACAAGGGCTCTTGCCTCAAAGGGAGGGAGGACCATCAACTGACAGGGCCTGACTGACATCAGGGAAGGTGGACAAGTTCCATGCTTTGAATGACTGTGGTTATCTGGGTGAATGCATTTGTTAAAATTGAGTTAAAGACCTAAAATGTATGCATTTGTAAATCATACCTCAATATTTAAAAAGCTTAAAAGTGATTCCTTAAAAATAACTAAATTATTATCTTCAGAGAGATTTAAGAGGCTATTGCTGCTTTGCACCAGAACGTGCTTCTGTAACCATGAGTAACTTAGAAAGAGAAAGTTGTTCTTGGGAAATAAGAATATGTGTGCTGAAAATTTCCAAAGAAAGAGTGAAACAATCACAATTAAGGAAAAAAATCTATCAATCTTGAAGTTAAAGTGGAAAAAAATCTAGAACACACTGCAAACAGGAAAATGTAAGAGAAAATTTATGAAATAATGAAATTTGGTTCAAGTAGAGCAAGAACCATCTATCTACATGTTGTAGCAGGATGAGACACAGGAAACGGGGGGAAAACTACTTTAAGATATTATGGAAGAAAATGTCCAGAAACTGAAGAAAACACAGTTCTCAGTTAGAAAGGAATTCAATGTTCATAAAATTCAAAAGTTGTAGAAAGGGTGAACAAAAAAGCCTCGAGAGGCTGATTTTTAAGTTTGTTGATTTTTGGTGGTGCTGGAGTGTGAACTCAGATCCTTATACTTGCTAGATGGGCACTCTACCACTTGAGCCACTCTACCAGCTGAGAGGCTGATTTTTAAAGGAAGGAGGTCCAAGCAAACTAAAAGGAAAAAAAAAAAAAAGACAACCCTTAATGTGCTACTATGGATGTCACAATGAAATTCTGCCGTGCTGATCTTCTGGGAACACTAAGGTTTTGTGCCGTTTCCTAATCCCTGTGTTGGTGTGAGGATTACGTCTACACGACAAGTGCATTATGGGAGGAAGTCAGTCCTCTGTACTCACGCTGCCATGTTTTGCAGTCATACCAGCTTTGGTTTATCCATCATCAGTTTCTTATTTTGTGATTAAAACAAACTCCTACTCGTTTAAATCAAGGTTCCTTAGCTTTTCTTTTACAGGAAGCAAACACAGATGTAAAGTGATGATTCTTAGCAGATGGTATGATTGTATTTTGCAATGAATTGTGAATCAATAGCAAGTCTAACTATTTGATTTTTCACTTCAGACATTGGAAACAAACTAGATTGATTACTTTGTCTTTTCCATAAACCAACATCTCCACTAAATATTTCATTTATGTTGACTGAGCATAAGGGAAATGTCTTCTTTTATGTGTACAAGAAGTGATTTGTAGACCAGGCTTCTGATGATTGCAGATTCAATTGTAAATATTTTATAAATGCCCAAGTTTATGGCATTTGGGACTTAAAATCAAAGATGCAGTTCATCTAGTACACAAACAGCTATTCAGTCACTCTAAGTAGCTTACTGCAAAATAAACATTTGGACCATAAATGAAATTGTAAAATTTAATAAGGAGTTCTTTTTAACCGGTTAATGGAGATATAGCTGTCATACGATTAACTGCATAATTAAACTATATTTAAATGCACATACAATCGCCTGCTTATTTAAATTGCAATATTTAAAGTATATAAAGCATACAATCTGATGAGTTTGGGTGAGTTTTCACAAAAATATAGAACCCTTTCCATAGTCAAGGTCATAACCTAAACCAACATCCCTCCCCTCACAAAACAAAAGAGTTCTCACACCCTTTTGGGACCACTCTTCCTGCCCCTCTTTGCCTACCCCAGGTCATCAGGCAACCTTATCCCTACCACCCTGAGTTAGTTCACATTTTCTATACTTTTATATACGCCGAATAGTTTTTGGTCTGGCTCCTTTCACATGGCTTAATTATTTTGAGATCCATCCATGTTGCAGGAGTCAATAGCTCATTCCTTTTTAATTGCTGAATAGAATTCCATTGAGTGGATAGATCCATGTGTTTATCCATTTACGTATAAATGGACATCTGGGTTGTTTTCAGTTTGGGGCTACACCAAATAAAGCTGCTGTAAGCATTTAGAGTGTGTGTGTGTGTGTGTGTGAATACACACTACCCCATAGTGTGATGGCTGGGTTTTAGGGTAAGTATAACCTTCCTATTTAAGAAGCTGTCAAATTCTCTTTCAAAATGAATCAATCAGTTTACATTCCCCATGGAAAAAAGTTCTTGTTGCTCCATGTCCTTGGCGGTCAGTCTTTGTCATTTTACCCCTTCCACAGGGTCTCTACTCTACTGAGATTGCATGTGGCTTTATTTGCATTTCTGTAATCACTAAAAACACTGAGCATGTTTTCATGGGCTTAGAGCCATTGAAATGTCTTTGGGGAAGTGTCTGTTTAAATCTTTTGTCCATTTTAAAAGGCAAGAAAAGATAGAACAATTCTGATACTAGGGAACTTAGCGTCTGTCCCTGAGAGAAAACTCACTTATTCTCAGATGTGTGGTTGGTTCCAATGAGTCACGGCTGGAAATAACAGCAGAGAGTGGATGGTGGGGTAATTTTAATACCAAATGGAGTTTTTATACTATTTCTATGAATAAGAGGGTTTATAATCCATGACAAGATGAGAGTTAAGCCAGTTGACCAAGGCTTTCTCTCCTAAAGTCAAGTAGAATCAACAAAACCCAACTAAAAAACAGGAAAAAAAAATTGCAGCAGCATTCACACAAGCAGTGGCCAGAGGGGTTTTGGAAATAATGATGATTCTTTACCAAAATCCACCTAACTCTCCATCCAAACAGTACCAAGAATTCAAGCAAATAAGAAAATTCTGGAAATGGCTACCTAGTACTTTATCCCCTACATGGTGAAGGAAAATGATTGGAGGTTTAAGTACACCAGAGTCCAATCTGCAGCTGCCTCTTCAAAGTAAAAGTCCTGCCCAACACCATCACAGTAGGGAAATTGTCATTTTACTTTTATTCTACCTGAGAAGAAGTTAGGAGAAGGAATACAAAGATGGAAAAATAAATCACAGAAGCTCTACCAAGAAAGAAAAAAAATAGCTTAGAAGAGGGCTGCCAGTGAAACAGATGTGAGATCTGGATAAGCCATAGATACAACAGTCTTTCCTTACTGTGCTCCGGGAAGGCCTGGCCATTGTCGTCTTGCCTAGCTTTGCCCTCCTCTGCGGAAGTAGGGAGAAGTGAGGGAATGGGGACAGGAGGACCCTGGATAGCTGGGGCAAAGCAATGTCAGCAGTCAGGGCACCACGAGAGCAAGAGAACACCTGAGGACCCCTGAGCCAGCAGGCAGATGTGTGGCTCAGCGATACTGGTACTCCTACAAGAGATTTTGCAATTAAAGAAAAAAAAATTGCAAGAATACAAAATCTTTAAAAAATTCAGAATCCTTGAGTAACTGGGTACAGACCCATTGAACTTGGGCTCATGTACTGCTCAATATTTTTCTTACAAATTGACAGGGATGTTGATGCAATTATCCAACCACCTCAATTGTGCATGATTATCTCAAAGGAATGGCTTCTCAGCACTGGAGATGTGGCTCAAGTGGTAGAGTACCTGCCTAGCAAGCACAAAGCCCGGAGTTCAAACCCCAGTTCTGCCTAAATACATACATAAATAAATAACAAAAGGTTTCTTCTTCAGTTCCTCTCCGCAGGTCCCCTCCCAAAACTAACTCACCACAGGATCACTTGTCTTGACAACTCCTGGTAGCTCTTTTTCTTCCTCGGTGCCATCCAGTGGAGTGGTATGGTTGTCACAAGAATCATCTGGCTAATAAAAGAAATGAAAGGCTCAATGGTACTGGTGCTCCTTAGAGAATTTTTTAATTAAAGAAAAAAAAAGTAAGAATATTAAATCTTTTTTAAAAAAAGAAGCACTCACAATCATTGAGTTGGGCTTTTAAAAAATAAATCTGTGTATCACTGCAAATGTGATTGTGCACTCCATTATCCATTACATTAAGATATATAAAATCACATGTGTGCTGTGTGTGTGTGTATAGCTGTGTGGAGCTACACCAAGCTAAAGGCTACCTACGCATTGCTAACAGCACTTACCAAATTCATCCGTAATCGTGTTGATCCACATAAATGTCACGCACTGTAATAGAATTGGTCCCAGAAGCAGGCTTTGCTAGCTGTCTGCCAAAATCCCCTTTTCTTTTCTTCTTTAGCATATGAATATCCTGACTTTGCTCCAAGACACTGTGTGTCTAACTAAAAAGACCAAGTGTGATCCTGTGAAGGCTGCATGTGATGAGATAAAAGTGGGATTCCACTTGGTGGAATGCCCAGGAAGCTGAATGTTTTCTTGCTAAAGTGGATGGAGTCAGTTGGCCAGTGGCTTCTTCTAGGAACAGGGACATGGTATCTGTGATCCCCAGACATCCTATAAATACTAAATATCAGCCCACATGCTAAGAGGGGGGCAGAATGGAAAGATGAGAAGGTTGGTCAGTATGTGCTAGCATAGCCATACCAGTCCTGCCTTTCCTACCTGAAGCTTCTTGTTTTACAAGAAAAGTAAACTTTTAATTCTCTACTGATGCAACTTACTGATAAAGTCATGCTATTTTAAAACCAGGCTTTATAAATGCATTTTGCAATAGTTTACAAATTCACAGAAAGAATAGTCAGGGTTTTTCAATCAGGAAATTGGAAGTGCATTGTATTAATCAAGTCATTAATACACAGTGCTGAACCAAGTATTTCATTCCTGTTCACTGACTACTGGGAAAGCTATGATATCATTATGCAGGAAGTGTGTTTGGAGAGAGGTTTCTGACTGTGAGGGACTGTACTATGGGCCTCTTGCATAAGCTGTAAGATTTAGCAGCATTTGTCATCAACAACGACAAAACAAAACAAAACAAATGAGCCAATATCCACAGATTCTGAAGGGAGTAAATTTAGAGCTTAGCATTTTCAGGCTTATCAATTTAGGAGGTATGTTTTTTGGCTATAAAAATTTAGTATCCAGAGACATTTCTTACCAGATATGCTCAAAGGGTTAAAGGTACCGTCTGCTTAAATCTAGCATTTTGTAATATGTGTGATTGTGGAAGTTGATATTTTTATTAGCCTCTGACATAATTTTATCGATGCTAGCCTTTGTCATTTGCTGTGAGAAAGAACAGCACAGCTGCTCCTGACTTTGTAGTGGTGCCACTCAGGACTTTTTGACTTTAGGATGGTATGAAAGTGACATGCATTCAGTAGAAACTACTCATGGGCTATGAGTCTGGATGTTCTCCCGAGCTAGCTGTATGCAGTCTGGTCCTCTCGAAGTTGGAAAGCAGCAGGAAGCTACAGGTCCCAGGGTCCTAAGGGGAAACAGTACACACTCCACAGTGGGCTCTAGCTAACTATGGGGTGCCAGAGGTTAGGTATATTTCATGCTTTGTGTGCGCGTGTGTGTGCGTGCACACGTGTGTGTGTGTGTGTGTGTGTGTGTGTGTGCGTGGTGCTGGGGAAGGGTCCCAGGGCCTTCCACTTGCTAGGCAAGTGCTCTACCACCTAGCTGCACCCCTAGCTGCAGCCCTTCAATGCATTTTTGACTCAGTAATACTTTCAACTTAGTTATGATGGATTTACAGGACAAAGTCCCACTGTGACTTGGGATCCTCTGTCCTTGTCCTTGCTTTCTCATTCTAGAGACAGGTGAGCAGTTGAGTAGTGAGGAGGGTAAAACTTGACAGGTTTCTGTAGGTGTGTGGCACCACACTTGACCTTGGTTAGCTTTTTTAAAAATTAGTTTATTTTTTTTCCTTTATTGCTGTGCAGGGTGGGGGTACATTGTGGCATTTACAAAATTTCTTACAGTGTATCATATCCATGATACTCGAATACAAACTGCTCTCCTTTATCCCCACCCCATTTATGGAATAGTTTTAACAGGTTATCACTTTTGCATTTCATGCATATGTACACACAATTCGCACCATATTCACCCTCCTCCCTCCTTTCCCCGCCACCTCCCCCTTTCCACTGGTGCCAACCCTCCCACCTTGGCAGGACCTGTTCCACCCTCCTGTTCTCTGATTTTGCAGAAAAGAAAAGAGAAAAACATGTCACTTTTGTTTGTTTGTTTGAGATAAAAGTAGTTACACAGGGAGTTTCCTGGTGGTATTTCCATGTATATCTGTGTCATACCCCAATTAGTTTATCTCCTCTAATTATCTACATTCTACCTTAGTCCCTTTCTTACGGTGGTTTCAGCAGTTTAAGATTTCTATATTCATTCTTGTATAGAGAGTATATCACCTATAAGGCCCTTAAGATCTAAACAAGAAGAACCGTGCAAGCTGGTGGCAAAAGAGTGAACAGCATACCAGTTTTGAGGACACTGGGAAGAAGGGATCCGATACTAGGTCCCAGCTCAGTCCTGTTTTGGCGTAGTGGCCGGAGGGTCCCTTATGGTCTCTTGGCACTTAAGTTACTCACTCTCTGCGATACAGCTCAAGACAGAACTGCTTCTCTTACACCAATACTACAGCCAAAGGGGTGCACAGTTTAGCAGGGGCGGGAGAGAGGGGAGCTAGTGGTGCCAGATTAAGGACAAATGCAGAGTGAGCTTGGGCTGATACCAAATCATTTCACAGACATTCCAGTCAAAGGCCAACTGGATCCTGCTCAGTAACTGAACTACCGTGCCTCACCTTGCAACTACTGCTACTGCTTTTGTTTGTGCATTAAATTCATTTTTAGGCTGATACACAACAATCTGTGTACAATGGCTACATCTCCTCACTTTTCTGGTATTGTCTGGCATGTGAGGCACTTACTGAGTGATCAGTAAACCATGTAATTGCTTTGTTCTGACACACAAGATTGAGCATGGTGATCACTGTCAGAGAAATGGGAGTTTTACTCCCCACACGCAGAAATCTGTCCTCTCATATTGAAAATTCTTTATTTAAAAAAAAAAAAAGAGTACCTACAGTAGGCCTGAGCTGCTTTCCCTAGAGGCCTGCTTGCAAGGCTGGAATCCTAGAAACTGAATTCCCTTGGCCAGCACCTTAGAAGCTGAATTTCAAGGGTTCTCACTACTTCCTAAATGTTAAGACTCACTCACCGTTCCCAAACCGCAAATGATACTGTTTCTGCTCAACAGCTGCTTTCCTGCTGGGAGTCTGGGCAGAGGGTACCCAATGTGATCCCCACACCAACACCCGCGGCTCCCGGGCTGAGATGAGTTTTGCTCTTGGACAGCACATCACATGCATTGTCACAGTCTGTAGCTGAAGGAATTGGTTCTGTCAGTGTGACACCACTGAGAGAGGATTCTTGCAAGACTGCACCTGGTTTCTGCAACTTGGCACCACATCTTTTCCCCTTGCTGCTTTTGCTTGGTATCCTCTTGCTCTAGCCAAACATCACTGGTGTCTCTCTGTGTGTATTATCTGACACCATGATTCCAGAGGAGGGAGACACTGGCACATCCAAGGCCTTCCACGGTCCCTACATACAGCCCACTGCTTCATAAAGAGGATTCAAGCCTCTCGCCAACAGGGACATATCACAGCATGAATTCAGCTCATAAAAATAAAGTCTTCTACTACAACAGCTGCATAGGCATTATGGACTCAGATTAACAGTCTTTGAAACTCAGTACTAAAATGGACCAGGTGGTAGGCTGCGGCTGGAGCTCAATGGTGGGGGCATGTGCTCTGCACATACAAGGCCTGGAGTTCAATCCCCAGCACCAAAACCAAACAAACAAAAACTACATCAGATGGGCACTAATGAAACACATTATCTAGCACATTTGCCCTGTGCTAGGAAACGCACAACTTTCCCACTTACTGCTACACAGTAAGATGATATAGCAGTGTTTCCCATGAGAGATTTATACTTAAAATAATATAGTGTTGCTTTCTGAAAGATATTTACATTTAAAAAGTAACTGAAACATCAAAATACATCTAATGATGAAAATGAAATCAATACTGAAAACTACATGGAAGGCAGGATAAGATTTTCCATTATGTCAGGCAAGCAAACAAATGTAGAGCTGACAACTTCTCCCATATTTGACTTCCAGGGGTGGTTGTAGCTAAAGCTGTTGCTACTTTTTGTTATTGAAAGTACAGGTAGGGTGTGTAGTTATTTGTGGATGTAACAATTTAATTATTCATTCCTGTTTACATTTCCAAGTAAACAGGCATTTTCCCCAAGTTTTCCTGGCCACCTTGAAAAAAATTGCTTTTTTAAACCTCCTTATTCTTAGTCCTCTTTGTTTTATCTTAATGGTTGACCATTTCTGTAGGAGACTATTCATATCCATTCTTCATCCAGAGTAGCATCCACAAAAAGGAGTTTAGATACAACAAAAATCATCTAGCTATTGAAAAACACTAAAGTGCATTTTTATTCAGGAATAGTCTTCCCAAATTGAATTGTGCAGCTAGTCATGTGTTGTACATAATCTGTGTACATTCATGCAGACTGGTACAGGTCATCACAGCAATGACTACCTATGCAATTAGCCATCTGTCAGTCAATATTGAGATCTTACTAAATTCCAGGGACTCTGATAGAAACTGCTCTTTGTAGAAGATACTGTCAAGTGTGTGCCCAAATCCAGTCTGCTGTGTTCTTTAAAGTAACCTGAGGGTTTTTTTTTTTGCAGGAAATTATGTGTTAAACTAAAAAAAAAAAAAGTGTAGGGGGGCAGGGTTTCAATTTCTAGGGCTCCTTTGCAGCTAAGGATGATAGAGTTCTGAGCAATAAGAGGTAACTAGAATTTCACTGAGTAGGATCTCCAGGAAAGTAAGGCCAGAAGGATGGTGTCCATGATACAAGTTCCAGGAACTGATGGGAACCTGGACGGGGCTCCTGGATGAACAAAGTGATGAGCGCTGCATGTGAGTGACAAAATAGGAAGGTAGAAGAAGACTGTATTTATGTCAAGAAAAAGGAGCACTCACCTTCAGCTTCATCTTCAGTGGGAAAAACAAACTCACATTTGTATAATTCATGACTTCTTGGGTTTTCTATTACATGCAGTCAAATATACACATAAGTGACATAATCATGTTTTTGAAGCACAGTTTATGACTACACAGTCACTTGCAAATATGTTCTACCTTTTACTTATCAATTATAGAACTGGAGATAAATGAGATTGACTATTCTTCACAATTTAATGTGTTACTGAAAGGACCATTTAATTCAAATCTTCTGAATTTTGGAAAAATACATTTGGGTCCTGGCATTCTGCTCATGAGGCAAAGGACTATACACCATATGCTATGTATCCCAAGACTGACTTGACATTTTCAATTTAGAAATGGCTCTATTGAAACAAGGGTTAAATATTCTACTCTTTTATTATAAGAACATCATTGAAAATTAAATTTATCAGATAATTAATGAAATTGTAAAATCGTTTTTCTCCATATTGCTTGACTATATTTTCTGTTTCCAGTAAAGATAATATATTATTTTCAAAACAAGAAAAAATTTCCACATTAATTTTTTAAAGGAACAAGTACTATTGAAATATTAGCATAAGAAAACTCAGTCAAGATAGCGAAATGCACATACCACTCTCTCCTTTCCCTACAAATCACTGGAAACATCAAAAGAGACATCTTTTAAAAGGCACAGATCTAGAAACCACTCAACATCTCATTAGCAGAACAGAAATTGCTGGAGGTTCCTGGAACATAAAAGAAGCAAGAGTGGTTTGATAAGGAGAGAGAAAACCTCAGCCTGAAAAAAGGCATAAGAAAAAATGAGTAGGAGGTACATGATTACCCAAAAAAATCCCATATCCACAAGGAAATAAAAAGATCAAGAAGGTGCTCACAACTCAGAAAAAAATGACAAAAGTGACTGAAAGATAGTTTTGTGGGTAAAAGGGCGGGGCAGTCTTCCCTTCCTTGAATACTGGAAAGTAGGCAGCATTCAAACTTGGTGACAGAGTAGTTACCTTCCCTGGTGGCAATGGTGGCTATGCTGGTAAAGGGGTGGTGGTTGAAGACCGAGGAAAGTTGAGTTGTACTTCATTGGGGCTTTCTAAAATATGGACAGGAAAATAGAAAGGAATGCTTGGTTTGCTTGCAAAGGAAATGTGGTTCTAGAAGAATCTTGTGTCTTTGACATAAGATTTGACATTGATGTCATTATTTGTGTGTCTTAAAGTGAAGTGTGACAGCTGACACATTTCTCTACTCACATAGGCCAAGAATCCTATGGACAGAGGAGAGAAGAAGAGATATCCAAGAGTGCAGAACAAATACACACAAAGATTTGGACAGCGTAAGAGACACAGAGGTTCAATGTAACAAGAGGGCTTCCAGAGGGAGATCACTAAGTAAGTAAAGGGAATAAATACTTGTTTTAAATGTGAGAAAATACACAGAATCTGAAGAATGAATTAGCTCTCTCATTAAAAAGGTTCATTTAAGTACAATCCAAGATGATTTTTTGGTTTTTTTTGTGGTGGTGGTGGTGGTACTGGGGTTGAACTCCTGGCCTCACACTTGCTAGGCAGGCGCTCTACCACTTGAGCCACTCCACCAGCCCTCCAAGATGAATTTTTAAAAAACAGTTGAGCTGGTAGATTTCAAGATTCCAACACTAGAAATGAAAATCAAAAGTCTTCCACTTGTATAATTAAAGGAATGAGACTAATGCAGACAGTATACTTTCCCACAGAGACAGCACACGAGAGACAATAAAGGAAAAGATCTTTGAAATTCTGAAGGAAGGTGAATTTATGCATAAAATTCTATATGGAAAAATTAATTAATATGCACAAAATATGCACATTTATCTTCAGACTACTTGAATATATAGCCTCACTAAATAAGTATATTGGGTCAAATTCATGCATCTCAAACTAATGCAAAATCTTATGAAACTTACAGGTTAAGTCTTCATAAGAAAGTGAAATGGAGAATTTTAGGTAATTATCCAGTAAATGTAGCTAAATGATGCCAATGAAAGACATAAAGAGTAGGAAGGGAAAGGTAGAAAGAGACAGGAAGGTGAAAGGAGAGACAGAGAGGAGAGGAAGAACAGGAAGAGGAAGACAACAGCACACACAAAGAGAGAGAGATGGACCAGGACAGATGGGCTCAGGGCAAGAGAAGGGAAGGGGGACTGGTAGATATGTGGTCAAATTCAAATTTCTAAGGAATGTTCCTTAGAAATGTCCGGGTTTCTTTACATGCAGAAACAGATGGTAGAATTTTTTAGGAAAATCAATCTGTGAAGATTTTTGTTAGGCCTTCTATCCTGAAATACACAATGTTTATTCAAAGGCTAGGTTCATACAGCTTTTTCCATTTCTGGCAAGGAACCATCAATTTTCAAAGCTATGTACACAATCCCAGGCTGACTGCCTGTCATTTCCCTGACTGCCCCCTTCCCAGAACAGCACAAGATCTCTTCATTTCCTGGAATATGTGGACTCTCTTTTGACTGAGATCACCCTTTGCCTCTGTCCCTATTCCCAGTTCAGTAGAATTGGGGCTGCAGCATAAGACTGGAAGGCAGGCAGAAGGAAGGGGCCCAGAACCATTCCGCTCCCTGCACAAATGTGTTCAGTCAGAACTTCTCTCTGCTGTTCTTGGAGTTACAAGTTAATAGTTGATTTTACCTGTGTGTCTTAGGAAAGTGAAAGACTCTTTATTACTTTTTACTTAAAGACCCTGTAAGCAAGTGTCTACTTTATCAGGACCCTTCAGGGAGGGTCCAAGGGAAAAAAGAGAAGAGTACACAAATATTTTTATGTTGCTGTAAGTCCCAAATCTTAGGACACCTGAAAAGGATAGTTGTGCTTCTTTGGGAAACTAAAGATTCAGGAGAAGACTACAGACCCTTTCTATTTCACAGTTTTCTAGAGTAGAGTCTAAATCTTGGTCTGAAGTAGCTGGAAATAGGTGTGGGGGAGGAAGTATGTGAAGGGTTTTGAGGCAAGATAATCCTGTAGGCAACTGACCCAGAAGAAATGACCCAGGGAACATAAAGAATCAGGACAAATCTTTTCCTTGATAGAAATCTCTTGGCCAGGATACCTGTACTGGTGTTCTAGCTTCAAGTTGTAGGAGCCATTTTTACTCAAGTATAGCTACAGAAAAATCCCAACATCCGGAAAGACTTGGGTTTCAACTATGAAAGTTCAAACAGCACAGAACTCAACATGCATTTCCTCAAGACTTGAACTTACATAGTTCAAGTTTATAAGATGTTGTGCTGTCTTGCTTTCAGTTTTCTCTGACAGAATGGAACCAGCCTCAAGATAGAAGATTCTAGAACTGTGCTGTTCAATACCCAAGCTACAAGCCGCATGTGACTGTTTAAATTTAAATCAATTAAGATTAAATAAAATTAAAAATTCAGTTCCTTACCCTGGCCACACTTTAATTGGTCATTGCCACATGTGACTGGGGGCTCTCACTGCCACATGTGACAGAATAGAAATGGATCATTTCCTTCACTGTAGAAAGTCCTACAGGATAGTTATTCTATGACACTACTGTCGCAAACACAAAAGTGAACTACACATGTACGAGGCTCCCTGGTTATGGCCCTTTGTGGTGAAGATGTCTAAGAGAAGACAGGACTCATGGACCACAGAGGAGACTCTAATCAGAGACTATCTTCAACCATGAGTTTTAACCAACATCCTTAGAGTTTTAATTTATGTCATTATTGGTATTATAATGAAACAAATGAGAAATCCAAATTTGAGTGATTAACTAACTTGTCCCAGGCAGAATATCAAATTTCACTCTACCAGAATATCAAGTTTTCTTTTTCTTTTTTTTTTTCTATGTGCTAATCACTGCCTGAGTTCTAAGAATCCAACAGAGGACTTGCACAGGGAAAGCATCCAATAAGCACTTGTGGCAATATAGCATTGCAATGGTGCAGTGAATGAATGAACGAGTTAGAAAGTAGAACTAGCAATAAACCTAACGTAGAATAGGAGGAGTGACTTTTACTTGTGAAAATAGCTTCAGAAAATAGCTTCAAGTTACCGCTGTGGAATTACTGAGGGTAAGCCAAAATTTCCACTTGCCACTTCTCCTTAAGACATGTGATTTTTCACATGTGGTTTTTTTTCAGTCATTCTCTTGTCCCTTAATTCTGACATCTTCCATTTCTTACCAGGTTAATTTTTTTTTTAACATAAAGGCTACCCTGTCCACTCCCCTGACAACCATTAAAATAACTCATTTGAACTTGCTTACAGACCTTAGGGAATTTCCCTGGGACTGTTTTGCTTGACCACAGAATTTTCATTCAGGCTTAGAAGACTTGTTCCATTGCCAAAGAAGTTACTCTCCCACTTCAACACAGAAGGGAATAAATTTGGGATGGAGGGAGAGTGCAGTGATGGGAGATAAGGAATGATCACATAAGTTCAAGTTTACAAAAGGTTGTGCTGTGCTGTCTTGCTTTAGTTTTCTCGGAAAGCTAGAATGGAACCAGCCTTTTCTGGTATGTGTTTTTCCATCCCTGCCCCACTCCCTCCTTTCCTCCCCCAATGAAATGAAAGCAAACCCCCTTGGAGCCAAGTTCAGCACTTACAGGCGTCTCATTGACTCCAAAGATGTCTCTGACATCCCGCACCGGCTGCTTATTCTTTTTCCGCATGGTCTGAGTATAGGTGTTGTATCTCTTCTTTACTGCAGCTGCTTGGGTCCGAGTCAATGTTGAGAGCAGGGCTTTGCCATCCTCCTCTTCATCGCCGGAGACCAGAGTTGACAAACCCACATCTTGCAACCACTCTGCCTCTAGTTCTCCTTCTGTAATGAGACCAAGAGAAGGGTAAGAACATTTTCTGTGCGAGCAGATGCCACGTGGATCTGTGGATCTGAGTGCATCAGGCGATAAGAAGTATTAGTGACAACGCGAGATTGTATTTTTTTATGAGGAAGGGTTATAAGAATGAATGGGAACTCTGTATTCTATTTTCTAAATAAGTAAAATTTGCAAATATTATCCAGTAGAGCCGGGTTAACTGGCAGGTTGGGGAAGGTAATTTTCCTTCCCAGAGGGTTAAATATAAGTCATACCTCAACTACTGCTTTCAAAAAACGATAATGTATGAATATTTACACTAAAACCATATCAGAAAAAGCATGGCTGAACAGAACACAAAAGGATTTTTAAGTTACTCAAATGCAGGTGCAAAGCCCAGTGCCTTCACTTACTAGCTGAATGATTTTGTTAAGTGTTAAGGTATCTCCAGGGTTTGGTGTCTCCTTGGCATAGTGGGCACAGTGACTCCCCGTACTTCTATGTTGTCTCAGTATCAATCTGGAATATAGAAGGGCTCATTCACTCTGGACACAGTATCCAGTTTTCCATGTCTCCCCAGGTCCTCAAGCCATCCATCCAGACGTCAGCCTTATACAACTTTCTCCTGGTGACCACCTTCCTATGGGACAGCTAGATGCAGCCTACATGACTGGCTCCATGACCCCACACCCTGTGCAAAGAGTGCAGATGCTGCAGTGACCCTCCCTTAGTCACAGCCTCACTCCATGAAATGCATGTCTACTGATGCTAAACCCACCAACTAGAACTTCCACAGAGAAACCTCCTTGGGAAATACTGTGGACCCCAACACGGGCTTTGGCCAGCAGGGACCATGCTCTCACTCTTGGTCCTCATTCATTGGTTCAGTGTGTGGGTCCTGGATGACTTCCCTCGTTCTCTTTGTCCTTCTATTTCTGGTATTTCGTGTTGCCTCCTCTGTCTCCCCTGACCAACACATGCAAATCCAACTTTTTCCCAATCAGGGCTATCCTAGAAGGCATAAAGTAGACACAGGTGACACAAGAGCCACAGAGCACCTGTCAGTATAAACAAGTTTCCTGGTGAAAGATCATCTGGTCATGGCATGATCACCTAGCCATCCAGTGTTCCACCAGGATGAAGTACCCTGTGAATGGTACACTGGAGACTCCCCCAGCCACCTCTGCTGGAGAGCCATCAGGGCAGGGACAGGGTTTATAGCCACTGTGTGGAGAAAGACAGCCATACTGAATTAGAGGGACAAACAGCAATGGAAATAATAATAAAAGCATTAGGTGGCTATGAGGATTTTTTAAGTAATATATTTATGAAGATGACAAAGAATCTGGACTAAAACAAGGTATTAAATAGATTTTCATTCTCCTACTTTTTTCTGAACATGGGGCAGTCTGTTTTTCAGAAGGCAATTCAAAAACCTAAGATCCACCCAGGAGAATTAACTGCTATTGTAAGCCAAATGCACAGAAATAAAAGGACTAAGAGTATAGTTCAAGTCCTAGAGCACCTACCTAGCAAGCACACGGCCTTGAATTCAAACCTCAGTACCACCAAAAATAAAAAAAGAAATAAAAGAATTGAGGATAATAATATCTGAATATCTGGTAACAGCAAATCTGGCCATGCATTTCTTGGGACTACACTAAACAGGCCTTTCCTGAACCGGGGCTATTTAAGGGGCAGATAAGACAGGTTCATAAACCCATGTCTAAGCCCCAGTCTAGGACTCCTGGACCCTGTTTCCATCACTGCATCACTGGTATAAACACACTGCTATTGCACTTTACGACTCCAACTTCTCGACTAGACAAATATGTTATTTGTTGTCTTATTTTTATTGTTTGTTTACTTTGCAAGCTGTCCCTTTAACTGAAAACAAAAGGTGAATTTATTACCAGCAACCTTAATCTCAAAGAATAAACCTTTTAAGTCAGTGAGTTATGACTTGGAAGTCTTGCTTCACTTAAATCTTAAATAAGATTTTCATTTCTGGAGACAAAATTTAGAAATATAGTTGAACACCAAAGTTTTAAAAAAATTGGACTTTTTTTCTCTCTACCTCTTAAGGAGTAATAAGAGGAGGAATAATGAGAAATTGGTAGACTAAGTTAACATAAACTAGGCTGAGGTCAGTCTAAATCCTTGGACTTTTCCTTAGGCTAAAGAATGATGTATATGTTTTTGCTAGGTAAGAAACATCCATGGCAGACATTGGGGTGACTTCTGTTTGCTCAATGATACAGACTGCAATCCCATGCTCCTACTCCAGTTGCCAGGAGCACACCCTTGAATTTCACAAGGCCACTGCCACAAAGCCAACTGCCTACCCAGTATCCACTTGGCCGTATCATTCATGCATAGTCAACACGTTCAATCTCAACTCATATTCTTCATTTCCAGCCCTAGATCTTCTTCACACTTCCACATATTCAAGTAATTAGGCAAGCAAGGAAGGCAGGAGACTTCTCCTTCTTTTCTACACATTACCTCTAGCATACAGCTAGACTTTCTGATATTGCCTCCTTTTTATATCCTCTACCTTCCCCCCTTTTTTTGGCATAGGGTCTCACTATGTAGCCCAGACTGGCCTCAAATTCACTGTGTAGCTCAGGAGCTGCAATCCTCCTGCCCCGGCCTCTTGAGTGTGCAGATTACAGGCAGGTACCACATTTCCAGCTTGCTACACCTTCCTTTATTTCTTCCTCCATGACCCTGATCAAAGCTACCCTTATCTCTCACCTGGACCGCTACTGCTCCATTAAGAATACTAGCAGTTCTTCCTACAGCCATTCTGGATCCCCTTCCAACTCATCTCCTATACAATAATTAAACTAGTCCTTTCAAACACAAATAATAGCAATGCTATGATTTTTCCTGGATTTAACATGGTCTATGAGACATACTCCATCCTGTCCTCATCCTCTGTTCTCCAGCAATACTGGCCTACAATGGATTCCTCAAAGTCTCCATGCTCTATTTTGTTTCAATGCCTTTAGACATTCCAATCCTTCTCTTTGACCCTGTGATCACTGGCTACTCAATCTTACAGATTACAGTTTATACATCTCTCCCTCTAAAATTCCTTTTTCTGAACCCATCAGACAAGGTCATATCCTACTACTATCAATACCCAAACTGCCATTTCTTTTTCCTTCAAGTAATTCCTCCAATACATCTACTTATATTGTTTCATTAATTACTTTTCTCTCGCTAGATTATTAACTGCATGAGAGAAGGAAGGATTTGTAAGCCTTTGCTTACAAAACTAACACTGGAACCTTGCAAAGTTCCTAGCTCAGAGTAGGTGCACAACCTGTGGAATTAATTAAATGAATAAAGAAGTTTCAAGTGAAAATGTAATTAAGAATGTTATTGTAATAAGTCAAAAAATGATGAATGCAAAACATCAACTGTTAAGAAATAAGCCTAGGTATCATACATACCATTCCATACTGAAAATCTATCTGCTTAATAAGTTTGTTTTTCCAAACAAACTTCTTCCAGTAAAGGTGAAGTGGTTTTTATTAAGATACCAGTCCTGTGTTAGAAACTATGAATAAAATACATGAAATACTTATATGAAGATGCTAAAGAAGAACCAAGTACAGGCAGTAACTGGGAGCGAAAAGCCCAAAATTTTGTTTTTATTATTCACTTATTCACATGTGCATACAATGTTTGGGTCATTTCTTCCCCCTGCCCACCGCCCCCACCATCTCCCCCTCTCCCCTGCCCCTTCCAGGCAGAACCTGTTATGCACTTTTCTCCACTTTTGTTGAAGAATAGAAATAAGCAATAGTAAGAAAGACAGCATTTTTGCTAGTTGAGATAAGGACAGTTATATATAGAGATTCCTAGTATTGCTTTCATGTACAAATATGTTACAACCCAGGTTCATTCATCTCTAACTGATCTTTACACTGGTTCCTGATCTCCTTCTCGCGTTGACCTCTGTTGCTTTAAAGTTTCGTATTAATTCCTCTGGAGTGGGTACATCAAATGCTTTCATGTTTTGGGTTTCTATCTAACTCTGTACCTCCTGTATGAGTTCTCCCTTGTCATGTAACCCAAGTCCTACAACATTGCTGTATTTGCCCTAGATCTAAAGACTGCATATCAGGGAGAACATATGATTTTTGGTCTTCTGAGTCTGGCTAACCTCGCTCAGAATGATGTTCTCCAGTTCCATCCATTTACTTGCAAATGATAAGATTTCATGCTTCTTCATGGCTGAGTAAAACTCCATTGTATATAAGTACATTTTCTAAATCCATTCATCAGTAGTGGGGCATCCTGGTTGCTTCCATAACATGGCTATTGTGAATAGTGGGGCAATAAACATGGGTGTGCAGGTGCCTCTGGAGTAACCTGTGTCGCATTCCTTTGGGTATATCCCCAAGAGTGGGATTGCTGGATCATATGGCAGATCTATGTTTAGATTTTTAAGAAGCTTCCAAATTTTTTTCCAGAGTGGTTGCACCAGCTTGCATTCCCACCAGCAGTGTATAAGGGTTCCTTTTTCCCCATATGCTCACCAACATTTGTTGTTTGTGGTGTTTTTGATGATAGCTATTCTAACAGGGGTGAGGTGGAATCTTAGTGTGGTTTTCATTTGCATTTCCTTTATGGCTAGAGATGGTGAATATTTTTTCATGTGTTTTTTGGCCATTTGAATTTCCTCTTTTGAAAAAGTTCTATTTAGTTCAGTTGCCCATTTCTTAATTGCTTCATTGATTTTGGGAGAGTTTAGTTTCTTAAGTTCCCTGTATATTCTAGTTATCAGTTCTTTCTCTGATGTATAGCTAGCAAATATTTTCTCTCACTCTGTGGGTGGTCTCTTTTTTTAGAGACCATTTCTTTTGTTGTGCAGAAGCTCTTTAATTTTATGAAGTCCCATTTGTCCATTCTTTCTCTTAGTTGCTGGGCTGCTGGGGTTCTAATGAGGAAGTCCTTGCATATTCCTATTAGTTCCAGAGTGTTTCCTGCT